AGGAGTTCCCATATATGTCAGTATGACGTAATGTCGAAGTGACCGCCTTGAAAGGGAACTCATAGCCTACTCGTTCGTCTGCTTTCACAGCCTCGATGTGTTTATAATCGTGGTCATGCAAATTATTATTATTTTTTTTTAATAAATGCTTGAATGAACAGTAACAACAAGTGTTCATGCAAATTATTATAACACACGCAAGCTCTAGTGATGGTGTCGGAGTCGGACCGCGGTGTATTTTGTTCATAGCCTATAATGAGCTTTTGAGTTTTGCGCTTTTATTTATGCAGATTAATTTATTTATTAAAATTAATAAAAGTTGTGTTCATTTGTTAAGATTATCATGATGAACAAAATGTGCTTTTGTTGGACATGGACCTTATTTTCTGCAATAATCCAAAACCAATGGAAAAGTGCTACTGGGTTTTTGTCGAGAGAACCAGGGCACTTCCCTCTCATCCTGCACCATGCTCTTTTAGTAACAACGCAACACGTAAAAAATAATTACAGCTATAATAATAACAACAATGAGCCTATATAACAATGGTAGTTTACTCATTAAAATATTATTTCAGGAGTCTTTTTTGTTAAACGTTGATATGTTTAAATTACAGTTTTTCTCAATCGCTCACATTCTTTCGAAACAGTCTTCTTAACATTCTCTAAAGTTCAATTGTCACAACTGTTTGCTGGAACATCAGAACTCTGTTGCATGTCTGCTCACCCAAAACATTGAATTTATGCTTCAAAACATATTGTGTCAGTAAATTGGCAAATACCACCAAAATAAAAAATGTTTTTGTCATCGTGTGAGCCACACTTGTCAAAATATTTAGATGTTTTTTCACCATGGAAATATCTGGGTTTTTTTTTTTTGTCCTACTTTTTTTGTTGACTGACTGCTTTCTATAATATACAAGAATGTCAGTTCTGTCTATAGCTGAATGCTCTTGGATATCACACTGAGCTTTTTAGATACAGATTTCAACAGTAAAACAAAATTACTAGAAAAAAGTCAATACTGAATGTCAATGTATTTATACAGCACATTTATTTTTGTAGAAATGTGTTGTAAACGGATCATTCCTGGTTGCTTGTTCATTTTTACTTCTTATACATCTTCCTTTTGCTCGTCCACGACAAGCAACTGTGAATTTTCAGTTTACACGACACATAACACATTTCTACAAAAATAAACTGATGTTGCTGTTTAGGGATTTAGATGTTCATCCATGTTCAAAAATGGTAGTGATTGTGCTGGGCAAACTCCATATGTACTTCCAAACTTGATTGGTATTGTGATTCATATTCCATTACAATGGCAGGCCATTTGACAAATAGCAGACATTACAAACATTCAATGTCATAGGTATTTATGGAATATATATGCATGTCCAACAGATTTTGAATGGATAATTTTGCATGTGAAGGCTTACATAAGAATGTTTGGAAGTTGTGAAGAGTTTGACAATTTCACTGAGAAGTAACTCATCAGTTTTGATCTACAAGCCATGTGCACAATATGGTATTGGTAACATGGTAACAAACTAACTGTTCAGGAATATGAACATTGTTTTGAGAGAAAAAGCGATTGAGAAAAACTGATATATATAAATATTGTAATATATGTAATATATATAATATTTTTTTGTTGTTGTTGTTGACTAAAATTAGATGCAGTTCAAAATGGCGTGACATGAAGAAATATTTACTAAATTAAAGACGTTTGCGGCAAAAGACAAAAACTAAGAAATTAGTAAAAAATTAACAATGCCTCTGAATTAGTCATTGTGAAACATGTGTTAAGTTGGACAAGTACTATTTTCCTGTGTTGTGCTTTTTGTCTTCAAAAAGATAAAGATCTTTTTTTTTTTTACTAGTTTATTCAATATTGGAAAAAAATGCTACTTTCTAAAAATAAGAATTTGAATCTAATTATATTTACGTATAGAAATATATTTGCAATACATGTGGCTAGACAATCTCACATTCCTCCAGTAACTCACGACAAGACCTCCCAGTTAGTCAAAAGCATTGACTGAGGCTTATGAATTCTCTGGAGGTCTACAAGGTTGATATGAGTGTCGGAGCACGTTATCGTGAAGTGCTAAAAATAAGAGCTGAGCGGAGTTTACGCAATGGCTCTTTGCCATGTACAGGATGTTTCAACCTGCCATCTCTCGTCACATTCAGCAGACTGAAATGCCACACATGTGAGATGAATTTAAAACAAGCGAGTGTCCATTATTTTTTATTTTATTTTTAAAAAGGAAAGAGATGTTGTGTTTTAACAGTTTTGAAAGTTGTAGAAAACCTGTAGGATGGTTCTGCAGATGGCAAAAACTTTTGTGCATTTCATATTTCACAGAGCTTGTTTGATAAACACATTCAGCCATTTCTGTAAATATGCCTATAATTAGTGCAGGCTGAAGCTAACAGGAAATGCACCACCTAAATTACTTTTCATAAGTGTGTTTCCAGTACTGAATGTCCTGTGACAATTTGCCTAAAAATATCAGTTTCTTGTGGGAGAAGCAAAGTGCATTTGAATACCGGTAAGTAGTTTATATATTATTATTACTACTTGTAATAAAATTCTAAGAGCTTTCCTTTATGTTGACCTGCCCAATATCAGCACTGTGTTGATGTGTCTGTGCAGTTTTGTGGGAAAGAGTATCAATAAGGCAAGGCCCCAGTACACAGAAACTTCTGGTTTTGGACATCACCTGCTACAGTCACATAATGTTACTTAAGGCAATACAGGGGGGACACGTGGTTTATTGTGCACTCTCACACACCAAATGAGTGACCAGTGACCCATAAGTCACCTTGTAAGTCAGTAAAAAGGGGCAGAAACTCAGATAGGCCTGCAGACAGCTGAGAAAATGCAAGATTAAACGGAGTAATAAAACGCAACTAACCATTTAATCTTGAAAAGTTATGGTGGCAAAAATAAATAGGCTTATTATAGACCTTATGCACCAGAGAAACGAGGGCGCCGCCATCTTTAGAATATTGTCTTTGAACTTCCGTTTTTGCGGTTGCTCTGTATATTTCTATGGCATCGCTGTCCAGGAGTAATTAGCTGGTGAAGTGGATTTACTTATTGTAGAGTTAACCAAAGTTATCATGAGCATTGTAATGTTTATGATAAGCATTGTAAAGCATATGTCTTAACAAATGGACCTTGGGAATTTTTTTTTTAACGAGCCGTTCATTCATAACTAGTCAAGATCGCTGTGAAAATACAGACCGGAAGTCAAAAGACAATGAGCTCAGCGCGGAAAAGGGGCGTGGCTACATAAGGTCTATAGGGAGGAGAGAAAAAAACCTCCCAGATCTTTCAATGTTGATAAGCACAAACAAAAAACAAAACTTTTAGGAAATTTTGTTTAAAATAAAAAACTATAAATTATATAATTTATTAAAAATACATATACAGGTCCTTCTCAAAAAATTAGCATATTGTGGTAAAGTTCATTATTTTCCATAATGTAATGATAAAAATTAAACTTTCATATATTTTAGATTCATTGCACACCAACTGAAATATTTCAGGTCTTTTATTGTTTTAATACTGATGATTTTGGCAAACAGCTCATGGAAACCCAAAATTCCTGTCTCCAAAAATTAGCATATTTCATCCGACCAATAAAAGAGGTGTTTTTAATACAAAAAAAAGGTCAACCTTCAAATAATTATGTTCAGTTATGCACTCAATAGTCAATACTTGGTCGGGAATCCTTTTGCAGAAATGACTGCTTCAATGGGGCGTGGCATGGAGGCAATCAGCCTGTGGCACTGCTGAGGTGTTATGGAGGCCCAGGATGCTTCGATAGCGGCCTTAAGCTCATCCAGAGTGTTGGGTCTTGCGTCTCTCAACTTTCTCTTCACAATATCCCACAGATTCTCTATGGGGTTCAGGTCAGGAGAGTTGGCAGGCCAATTGAGCACAGTAATACCATGGTCAGTAAACCATTTACCAGTGGTTTTGGCACTGTGAGCAGGTGCCAGGTCGTGCTGAAAAATGACTCCAGAGTTCCTCCAGACTCTGGCACCTTGATTTCCGAATGACATGCAAAATTTGAGCAACAGTCCAGTGCTGCTTCTCTGTAGCCCAGGTCAGGCGCTTCTGCCGCTGTTACTGGTTCAAAGGTGGCTTGACCTGGGGAATGCGGCACCTGTAGCCCATTTCCTGCACATGCCTGTGCACGGTGGCTCTGGATGTTTCTACTCCAGACTCAGTCCACTGCTTCCGCAGGTCCCCCAAGGTCTGGAATCGGTCCTTCTCCACAATCTTCCTCAGGGTCCGGTCACCTCTTCTCGTTGTGCAGCGTTTTTTGCCACACTTTTTCCTTCCCACAGACTTCCCCCTGAGGTGCCTTGATACAGCACTCTGGGAACAGCCTATTTGTTCAGAAATTTCTTTCTGTCTTACCCTCTTGCTTGAGGGTGTCAATGATGGCCTTCTGGACAGCAGTCAGGTCGGCAGTCTTACCCATGATTGCGGTTTTGAGTAATGAAACAGGCTGGGAGTTTTTAAAAGCATCAGGAATCTTTTGCAGGTGTTTAGAGTTAATTAGTTGATTAAGATGATTAGGTTAATAGCTCGTTTAGAGACCCTTTTCATGATATGCTAATTTTTTGAGACAGGAATTTTGGGTTTTCATGAGCTGTATGCCAAAATCATCAGTATTAAAACAATAAAAGACCTGAAATATTTCAGTTGGTGTGCAATGAATCTAAAATATATCAAAGTTAAATTTTTATCATTACATTATGGAAAATAATGAACTTTATCACAATATGCAAATTTTTTGAGAAGGACCTGTATATTGTATGCAAATTTGTGTGTGTGTGTGTATATACCGTATACAAATTTGTATGTATATACACACACGTGTACAAATTTGTATACTGTATATACACACAGAATAGAAAACGTTAAAGTTTATAGTTTTATCAGTCTTGCATTAAAAAAATGGAAATTAATGACTTGATTATAATTTTTTCATTTTAATCCCCTTTAAACGCCATATATACAGAAGACTCCAGAAGTTTAAAAACATTGGACCATTGTACAATATATCTACAAGTTTATAATCACAGTTTCACTCACTATACAATCAAGCAGAGCACAGGTTACAGACCATAAACAGAATCAACACGTAATTTTTTTCTTTTTCTCATCAGTTTCAATTCACCATTCACAAACATACATACTTCAAGAGATCTTTCTTCTATTTTGAGACATTAAATAAATTATGAATGTAAAGTACACTGATAAATTATCAACAGATTAGTGAGTCTTCATTTCGCCATTAAGGGCTGTGTGTAAATGCTTATTTTTCTGCTAGCATTGCATAATTTCCCTCATCCTGCTTTTTCCAGAATGTGTGCAATGTGTTTGGGATTTGGGAGTACTGAAAGCTACAATACAGGCTCTCAAGTTGGAACAGCTGATATGACCTTGACAAGCTTATATCGCAGTGTGCCATGTTATTATAAACCCTTTATCACAGTGTATGGCATGATTTTACTTTCAATAGCGACTCAAGCGGGAGAAAACCCAGTGAGAATGGCACTAAAATGGTTGGTAAACTGGCTGAGATCTGCCAATCAATGCATGTCTGTCTTTTACAAGCTCTAAAGGTGAAAGTGAAAAATCCATCAGCTGCATCCGATGGTGCAATTCCTTATCATGCACCCCTGAAAGAAGGGACGGAGTCGGAAGCAGAACAGCGAAGTCTCAAGCAGTCGCAATTCATGGGTAGGAATGGATTCAGCTCTGCACGATGTTGCGTGCCATATGGTTACATCACCACGGAACTGGATGCTAACGGGATATTTTGCAGGAGTCTTAGATGGGACGCCGGCCAGGGCGATTACAGCTCAGTCAAACAAACAAAAAGGGGGGTTAAAATTGCACTTTTGCCCTTAATATTTCCAATGTCTCCTTCATTTCATGGGGATGTTACACTCTACGTCTCTTTGGGGAGCAACCGGCTTTTCAAAAGCAGCTTTGCAACGTCATACAAAGAAAAGAAAAAAAAAGATGGAACATAAAACAGTAACAAGCTTGTTTCTACAGAAAACATACAAGCCGAGGTAGAAGGGGGGAAAGAAGATGGGAGGAAAAATAACAATATTTAATTACAACTCAATCCAGATAAAACAAACTGATAGTAAAAATGCAAGCTCCCTTAAGACTAGCCCAAGATGGATCAACATTTTTAAGATGAAGTTAATCATTCTGATTAATGTTTTTAACTTCATAATGAGACAGAGCAAGAGCTGTACTTTTTGGCATGGCCCTTCTCGCCTAAGTGCTTTATGAGAGATAATGCTATCCGGGCGTAGCGGTAACCTAGCAGCAGCGCGAACGGGGAATGTTGCCCACTCTCTTGGGTCAGAGCGTGTGGGATTACATACAAGGGTCCTTTTCATTACATAATACATTCATTAATTGGCACGTTTGCATGAGGGGGAAATGAGAGCGGGGAGGAGCAGCCATTAACCTGCGGCGTCGTGAATAGAGGAAAAGCCTCTGAAAGCCTCTAAAGAGCTGCAGAATCCGCAGCTCTCCATTAGTCCAGCGCATTTTGTTCTTCAAAAAGAGCGTGGGGTCACATTTATGAGAATAGTCATTCATCTACCCAACTTCATACACCAGGTCGTTGGATATAGGACTGCGATTCTGCTCTGAACCTGATGAACTTGACTCATCAAGGCACAGGTGAGCCGGCTACATCACAGAGGACGGTGAAGAGAGGAACGTTGGATGTTGGGCACGATGTGAAGAAACGTGAGCACAGACTCTTGGTAACCTCTGTGCTTTTCATTCATTTGTCACGCGAGTATCTCTGGCGCAGTTCAGTCCTCACCGCAAACTGTGCTTCCAGTGTATGTTTCAGACTGAACTTGTCTGATGAAATGAGAACCGTTTTGTTCTCAAGCGTTTTGTAACGGGCTCAGTTGAACAGCGTGTGCTGTTTACTGTAACAGCCTTCCCCTCAGCTGACTTCACTTCCTTCCGGCTGTATCATCCGGCACCCTTTGCTGCTTGATTAGTCGTTCGATCTCCGAACCCAGCGTCTGGAGATTTTCCTGTAGAGAGAGAAACAAATCAGACTGCTGTGAGGACTACTGCTATTATTTACATTGCCATTCAGTGTATTCATATACAAGCAGAGCAAAAAGCCTGTAAGCTCGGATAACCAGGCAATTCCAGGCTGTTTTGCTTTGAAACGGTCTGATTTCCTGCTCATCTCACGATAAGACCGTAATCCTGCCATTGTGCCTTGAATGGAGCTCTGCGTTCCCCTTGTGCCCTGTCCTCATAACATACTTTATTAATTTCTCTGATCTCCCAGCTGATGTGCTCCCTCATAGAGGACAGCTGCTGGCCCTGCTGTGACCTGGATGTGGCTCTATAACCGAGAACTGGTCACTGTCAGCATGGAAATTTGCCCAATTACTGAACAGTCATCCATCACCACCAAATTTGCTTTTCTTCTGATAGCCATCACCAGGAATCCAGTTACAAAGACGCTTAGTTTAAAAATTGTAATTACATCAGCGGATGCCATTGTGGAACTCAACACTAACATCAATATACCAACACCTAGTTTGGCTATATATGGTCACACTATTGCAAATGCAAAAACAAATGCAATCTGTGAAAAGTTGGGTTTAAAACGCATAGAGACCCCATGAAATCGCTTGATGAGTAGGGCTGTCAAGTCTATTCACATTTATTTATATAGCGCTTTTTACAATACAGATTGTTTCAAAGCAGCTGTGATGGTGGCAGTTTTTCTATTTTCCCACAAGATGTGTCATATATAGCCAACCGCTCTGCACTTTGAGAGGGATGTGGGGCACGAGCAGGAAAGAGACCATCTCTTTTTAATATATTCATGTTTTCTCCTGATGTTCCAAAGCAACTGACACTTTTTGTAACAGGTCTGAAGAACAAATTTTATCTTCCACAGAGTCAAGACATTTAGGCTATGTTTGATTTTGCGTTGACAATGAAAGCTAAACTAAAATCACCGGTGTGACACATTAAAGGGCTAATTGGGATGCACAATATTTTGGCGCCATATCAGTTATTGGCCGATATTAAAGATTTATTGGTATCGGACCGGTCAATATTGGATATTTTACATTTATATTATCTTTGCTGTCATACGTTAATCTTTTGTTAATCAAAAAAAAAAAAAAAAACATTATACAGCTGCAAGCAGTGATGACGGGTCAGTGGCTTTAGGGAAACTGTGCATAGTAAGCAAAATACATTTAAAGCGGGGAGATATAAAAGAAGTGTCAAATTTGTTTGAATACGTCACATTTACTGCAGCAGCTGATGCCACTATGACCACGAACCACAACAGCCACATCCATGAGATCCCTTATATTCAGATGAATTTCATGTCATAGGTCAATATCAAGTGAGTGAGAAGGCAACAGACATGGGATTTGTCGATGTCAGTGCGTTACCCCTGTCAGTGTTACCGTTGGTCGCCACTTGTTTTCAGGAGTTCAATGTTCAATCAGCGTTTGCCAGATAGGGGAATGTCTGAGAAGTGACATTCTGATGATTGGTTGGTGCCCATCGGTGCAGTGTGAATTGGCCTTAACAGACAAGCCACAAAACTCCCTTTTTGATTTCATTGGGGTCTTTAATGGGCATGGGTGGCTGTCACTGCTGTGGACGGTGGCTCATACCTTCAGCGTGATGTTTTTGAGCAGGGTGTCCTCTAACACAGCCTGGAGTTTGCGGTTGATTTCCAGCGAGAGGTCGAGAGTGAGGCCGCTGTCGGCGGGGTGGGAGGTGTACAGCGATGCCATGATGCCTCCCCTCCGGATCAAGTGAGCTTTGTTTAAGTCTGAGGCTTCTGTAGACAGAGCTCCAGTCTCTTCTCTGAGCACGTAACTTTGGATAATCCTGCAGGAAACACAACGTTTTTCACAGCAATTTTAAGTGTCAATGAAACCTCAAGCCATAAAGGCCACTGTCACATAGTTATCCTCAGTGAGAAAGTAAAAGGTGACGAACCTGGGGACAGAGGAGGAAAAGACCCCATTACCCATATCTACATCATCAGTGTCTTTCTCTGTCCCTCTCTTTCACTCTGGATGATAAATGCGTTTAGAAGATTAGAAGGCTTTGCACAGCTAAATCTCAGCCGGTCACTGTCTCATAAGATTTATTTAATGTGACACTCATTTCCTTAAAATAGCTTTTCATGTCATTTTCACTTTTGCAGGAATACTTCTTTGGGGGGAAAAAATCCATAAGCCGGTTTTAATTAGTAAATGAATATAGTGGTCGAGTACATAAAGGACAAGCTTCTTTATTTTGATGTCAGGCTTAAAGGCTTTCTGGTTAAAGGCTTTTCATGAAAAAAAGTCTAAAAAAGATTGGTTCTCAATTAATTAAATTAAAATGGAAATAGCGGTATGGCCTTGCGTAAAAAAAAAACTTAGCGAGGGTAGACATCATGTAACGTTACCTGAATGAAAACAAGGTTCAGAGAGATAAAGATCAAAGTATGCCAGAGTATAGAAAAGAAATGACAGCATTTCACCAAATTTGGAATTGGGATTATTATATACCAGTAATATATATATATATATATATATATATATATATATATATATATATATATATATATATTCGTACCGGTATATTCAGAAATCATTCTAATATGATGACTTGATGCTCAAGAAACATTTATGATTATTATCAATGTTGAAAACAGTTTTTTAAATTTTTATTTCAGGATTCTTTGATAAATAGAAAGTTCAAAAGAACAGCATTTATTTAAAAAAGAATCTTTTCTAACATTATAAATGTCTTTACTGTAACTCAATTTAGTGATCAATTTAACTCATCCTTGATGAATAAAAAGTATTGATTTCTTTTATTTCTTTCCCCCAAAAATAAAATATAAATTCTTACTGACCCCAAACTTTTGAAGGGTAGTGTTTAATGTTACAAAAGCTTTCTATTTCAGATAAATGCTGTTCTTTGGAACTTTCTATTCATCAAAGAATCCTGAAATAAAAATGTAAAAAAAAACTGTTTTCAACATTGATAATAATCATAAATGTTTCTTGAGCATCAAATCATCATATTAGAATGATTTCTTAAGGATCATGTGACACTGAAGACTGGAGTAATGATGCTGAAAATTCAGCTTTGATCACAGGAATAAATTACACTTCAGAAAACAGCTGTTTTAAATTGTAATAATATTTAACAATATTACTGTTTTTGTTGGTATTTTTAATCAAATAAATGCAGCCTTGGTGAGCAGAAGAGACTTCTTTTAAAAACATTAAAAATATTACCGATCTAAAACCTTTGACCAGTAGTCTATATCCAAAATTTCAATCCTTAATTAATGTAATATTATCTTTTATTTTGTACTGAGACCCAGAAACAGACATGAGAAATCAAGAGAACTTTATACCCAGTGTTTTAGAGATCTTAAAAAGCTTTAAAAAAAAACACAATTCAGTTTTAAGTGCTTCAATTTTAACCACAGTGGCGAGCAGATGGAAATCATAAGTAATTATCATCTCCCTCACTATTGTTGTGTTGAATAAAAAATGGAGAAGGAAAAAAAAACCCTGTAGTTTTCATTAAAGGATGATGTTGTGATGCACATTTATCTTTCAGTCTTTGCGAGAGAGTTCTTTCTTCCACGACCACCATTTAAAATCTATTTTCTCTGCAGTGACGCACAGCCCAAATAAAGGCAGAATTCGATTCTAATGGTTTCTTCAGAGCACTGCTCGAGACAAAGACATTAGAGGATGTAAGACTAAAGGTCTCTGCCTGAGAGCAAAAAAAAAAAAAACAACTATATAAGTGCTTTCTGTATTAATGAATTCACTCTCATTTCACTGTCTGATTCTGAAATGAACACACTAGGGCATCTATACCAAAACAACTTTTAAAACAGGGATTTTTTTTCTACCCTGATAAAATGTTACAAAGCATTTATTTATCAGAGTGACAGGAAAGAAACTAGGGAAATGCTTTGGAAAAACAAAATTTCTGTGATGTGCTGATGCCACAAAAAGGACAAACACACATACTATACGTAGTTGTACACATAGACGCACACAACAGAAAGAACAAATAAAAACGAACAACTCACCTCTCACTAATATGGGGTCCAAATGGACCCCAACTCCATAAGGTTAGTATTTAACAAAACGAAACAAAAGCAAATTAAAAAGCTGCCCCTAGCTAAACATTTTGCATGCACATACAGACACATGTAACTGCAATTCATTATAACCTTTTTTCTAGTGGCAATCCTACCACATCCACTTTACTGCCATTCTGACTTTTATAATACAGAACAGTGGAGAAATGACAGTAAATTTGAGGGAAAGAGAGAAAGAATTGGATCGGAACATGACCCAGGCTGGACAACAGCACAACAGCTGTACCACAGCTCTGAGACCATTCTGAATTTTGATTTGCAGACCAATTTGTTCGAAACAGATGACAGTTTTAGCTAAAGCGCAGTAGCATGGCCTGATTCTCACAGCCTAGAGGCTGAAAGAGCAAAAGATAGGCAGCAGGAACATCAGAAGAGTATAGAAAAACAGACACGAGCCATAGGACGAGATAAAGAGAGTCAGGCTTTGGCAGTCTGTTCGTCTTCATTCGAGGAATCAAAAGACGAAATGTGAATCTTTATGTTTATTTTATGAGGATTGTGAATTTCTAGCACTACAACTGAACCATGACTAAAGATGAGAGCTCATGATCATATCAAATCAAAGATAAATCTAGACAGCATATTCTCATTTCAATCAAGATACATGGGTCAAAATGGGTCAAAAATACCCAAATCATTAACCAGCCTTTCCCGTCAGATTACATTTCATACATTAAAATCTTGAACTACATTATTAAATTTGCTGAAAGTGAAAATGCAGCTTGCCTGTGCAAAACTCACCGCCACAATGCTGGTGTTCACCTGACAATATTGCCATGACTTTCAATGTCCCAATGATATTCTGGTCCTTTGACACTACTGGAGTCCCCAGGGATGCAACGTCAAACCGAGGGGTTCAGAGTCTGAACATTCAATCGTTTTTTTCACACACATTTCATCATCCGCTGGACAAATATCTAAAAAAGTAATAGCAAACCTCTCCACACCAAGCCATATGATTTGTTCATGCTAAAGTTTAATCCTTAAAGAAATGGTTCACTTCAAAAAGAAAAATCTGACATGATTTACTCACCCTCAAGTTGTTTCAAACCTGTATGAATTTCTTTCTTCTGTTGAACACAAAAGGAAGATATTTTAAAGAATGTCAGAAACCAAACAGTTGATGGACCCCATTGCCTTCCATAGTATTTATTTTTTCCTACTATGGAAGTAAATAGGGTACATCAACTGTTTGGTTACTGACATTCTTCAAAATATCTTCCTTTTGTGTTCAGCAGAAGAAAGAAATTCATACAGGTCTGAAACAACTTGAGGGTGAGTAAATGATGACATCATTTTCATTTTGAAGTGAACTATTCCTTTAAGGTTAGAGGTTTGTTGAAATGTAGCAAGCAAAGCACTACTAAATATAGTAATAATTTATGCACCAATCCAATAAAAATTATTCACATGCAAGTCCAACGGCACTTGGTATCAATTCCAGAACACAGCGATTTCCTCTAACCGCCCTTGACGAGTGGCACAGTGACAATACTTAGGTTTAACTCCTTTGATCAATATGGTAATCCTCAGCTAGGTGTAGTCAAGCTGTAAAACCAAGGAGACGTTATTAAATCAATTGCGGTTTTATGATATAATCAATTTCCACTGAGCCTTGAACGATATAACGGCCTGATCTAACCTTCCCGTGTGTCAAAGAATCACTCGAACGGCAACAGTCGATAAACACTGGGAAACATTCCACCGCTTGGCAAACTTGGACTTGTTGAGGAAGCTCAGCTGCACGTAATGGCTAAAGATCAGCTAAGGAGGCTAAATTAAGCCTGACCTCAATGGGATGCGTCTTTGATTAGAACTAATGAATGTGAGTTAGTGCAGGTGGATCGACTCAAGGCCTATCATTATTCAAAAGTGATGGGAAATGGACAGAGATGGCATTTCAGTCCAGGGTGGTGGCGGCAACCCAACTTGCATCCTTCTGCGGCATGTTAAATTATTTATCTCATTCAAAGTCTGATCACGAAAACAAGGCATTCTCGTTCTCCGAGCGCATTCACTTTGTTTTGCAAAAAGATTTTTTTGTTCTGTGGTGGAAATGTGCACCGGCAACCTGATTGCTCATGTATAGGGATGCATATGAATATGTATCAGGCATCATTAGCAACCTTGGTGACGCATCGTTCCCGCAAGAACTGACAGCTATAAATATCACTGCCAAGACCTCTCTGTCAGAAACATCGGTTTGCTCAGTGTGTGTGTGTGTGTGTGTGTGTGTGTGAAAGAAAAAGATGAATGTCTGCCAGATCCCCTTTCGCAATGAAAGTCAGACGTACAAGACACAAGCCTAGGTCAGGAAGCCGTAGACAAATAAACAAAAGGAAAAAAACCAACAAAACAAAAATAGGCAGAAAAACAAGAGAAAGAGAGGATGCAAAAGAGGGACAATGACCAGCCGAATTCGACCAAACGGAAAGGAGGGGCGGCAGTGATAAATTCTCTACACCAAAAGCTCAGAGCTATTCTACAGTGGCATCAAAAATATTTGGACACTGCAATATTAAAACTGCCTGATTATCACAGTGTTAGATATTTAACACACAACATGGCCAAACGTATGCTCTAATTAACAGGTTTGGCTATTTCAGTCAATTTTGTGAGGACAAATTTGTGCTGTTCATTTAAAATAAATACCATGCGGTTTTGATATTTTATCAGACATTCATACATTTTTCATTGTGGCTGAAGTGTCCAAATGTTTTTTTGGAGCCATTGTATCCTTCTACATTATTATTTTTCTATTAAACTCATGGCTTCTCTTTGGTGTCCTCCCTGACAACTTTGTATAAACGAATGTCAATGTAAACTAGACAGCTACAGGATCATTTGTAAATGTCAAAATAAACATTGGGAGCCACAGAGTTTTTCTCCATTGTCTTTCATCTTCCATTCTGTCTTTTTCACTTTCACTCACTTTGTCTTTTTCCTGATCTCCTCCACCAGTTGTTTGATGTGGTCCTCCATGAATTCAATCTTTTCGTTCTTACGAGCATGTGCTTTCTGCAGCCGCACGATACGCTCCACCAGCACAGCTTTGTCCACCTCGGGGAAGCTGTCCACCACTACCACCGATGAACCGGACTGATTCTCCGGAGAGCGATCATCCATACTGCTACCACGTGCGTTTAGAGAGCCTGAAAGTGAGAGATTCAAACCATTGTGCAGTAGCAGTCACACGATACAACAATAAACAACACAGGAAGGCAACTTAGTACTAAGATTAGAGGAATACTCTGGGTTCAAAACAAGTTAAGCTTTATCCACAAATGCTGCTGGTAATTTCGATCACCTCAAATTCATTTTGACTCATTCCTCAGCCTTTAAAAAAAAAAGAAAAAAATTGCAGGTTACAGTAACACACTTACAGGAAAGTAAACCAGGTCAGCATTCCAGAGGGTTTAAAAGAAGAAATGTGAAGATCAGTTTTGTGTTAAAGCATTTACAAGATTTATTTAGAAAAGATTGAATAAAAACTTCACATATCCACTGTTAGTGTGTTACTGTACTGTTATTTTAGCTTTTTGGCTTCTCTTTTGTCAAATGAGGTTGATGTGACCTAATCTGTACTGAACCAGAAAAATTACACACACACACACATATTTTTTGTTTTTGAAAAGTCTCTTACGCTCACCAAAGCTACATTTATTTGAACATTAATACAGTAAAAACAATATTGAGCAATACTTTTCTATTTTAATATCCACCTTTTTCCTGAGTAAACGATGAGCGCTGCCATGAGGAATTCCAACTTCCGTTTAGATGGTGTCCTGTTCCGGTCTCCATAGGAACACATTGTCAAAACGGGGTAAAAAGAGCGTCTGAATTAACTAAACAGAAACTTTTTGAACATTACTAAAAAATAAAAATGTGCGTAGGGTTAAGCTGTGCTGTTGTTGGCTGCTACATAACAGCAATAAACTGAAGAAATTTTTGGGAAGTACGTGTATTGAGCACCAGCGAATCTGAAAATAATGTCCGTATACAGGTAAATGTCAAGAGAAAACGAGCAAGGCTTGCGGCACTAAAGTTAAAATACTACCCAAAGAGGGTATATGTGTGCTCTATTCATTTTGATGACAAAATCCCACGAACTTCATCCCGATTGGGAGCTGCATGTAGGATATGAGCGCTCATGTTATCAGTGCATCAGCTAATATCGGACAGTTTCGTGTCATCTACGCACTCAATAAATGATGAGTGAGGCGTTGACAAAAGACAGCCATTGCTACACTGTAAAGTGATGGCACAGTGGAGCCATGTGCTTTTTAAACCCTTTTCATAGGTTTAACATTACATTATCAGCTCGGAAAATACGCTAATTTGACAGCGTCATTCCAGTACGAGTCAGGCGAGACTTTTAAGTTCAGAAAAAGGTGGATACATGAACCTTCATGATAACATATCTATTCATAGTTAGCTCTTTCAAGAATATAATACGTTAAAAGACCCTATTTCATGTTGATTATGCATTTTAATGGATTATGCTCTTTAAATGTGCAGACATAAATAGGTATTATAATGTATAATAACTCTGCTTTAGGGCTACCCCGAATAAAGATTTTTCTAGTCGACTAGTAGTCGTTCATTTAAGCCATTAGTCGACTAATCGCACGTTTATATTAATTTAATTACTTAAATATATACTGATGAGAATACTAAACCATAATGAGTGTTAAATATAGGCGTAATATGTCTATTCCGCGCTCAAGCGTACGAATAAACAAAGCTTGCCGCAAAGCACCGGCAAATTATGAATGTGTGGGGACAAAATAGCAAGGAGACATTTTAATTATTTATTAATAAACTAGTGTTTTCTGAGTCAGTCCGAGTAGCCTATACGCTGAGTTTGTTCATTTATGTGACGCACTGCAGTTCAGGGAGACCGAGACGGCAGAAAGCGCATCCTGTTTGTTTTCTTTATTTTACAAAATCACAACGTTTTCTTGCTATTGTGAGTTTACACCAATAAAAGTAGACCCTTTACAGTTTCGAAAGATGTATTGTATGACCAAAAATGACGGAGTAGTTTAAGTTGTTGTCAGGTAAAAATGCAAGTGATCCTCCAGGTGCCTCCATGTCGTACAGTAAAGCGCGCTATACTTTAGCTTCCTTCCACACTCTGCACAAACACTTGGATATGCACCTTAAAGCGCATATTTATCTAGGTTATCGTAAGAGCGAGCAGCCAGGGTCCGAAATTAACTTTTTGGCTCACCTGCCATGGGGACTGGTAGATGAAAAAATCCACCAGCCAAGCATATTTTTTACCGGCCAAAATAATAAACAGCCTTTTGTGTCACATATACATTAATTTATATATATAGGCTATATTTAAACATTTTTGTCATATTTCTGGTCTATTATTTTCCATTTTTACTTTTATTTACACACATATTACACAATTTACACACATATTACACAATTTACACACATTAAAATAATATTTTTGTGGTGGTGCCTATGAAAATAGTTCTGTACAAACTAAATGTATTAATTGTATATTTAATAAAATATATGCAATAATAATATATTATAATTATTTCAAAAAAAAATTTAGTTTAACTCTGCCTAATTTTATTTTTTATAATTACTCACTCTGACTGATCCGATCAGTAACTGATGGACTGGAAAATCAGTTGTTTTAACCATTCATTCAAATGAATCGGTTCAAAGGAGTCATTAGTTCGCGAATTGGACGTCATTATCGGATGTGTTCGCGTTGTGTGATTATCCCGGCAGCTAGGACATCCCACAAGATTTGTGTCAACACAGAAAACATTTCATCACTGGATCGTTTTTTTTCGTTTATTTAAAGTGTGGTTTATGTCAGCTGAATGTGCGGAACGCTTTTCAGAGAAGATAAGGTATTTTAGCACAATTCACATCCAGCGGTAATTCAGGAAAAAATATATCCGAATGCTCCACATGAAACTATGGTCTTCCGACCTTTTACCATCGATTTATTTTGATTAATATGTGCCAGGGAGAGAGAGCAAGACAGCGCTTAGGAGACGGTGAAGCCTTGTTTATACTTTCGCCTGGATCCGAAGAGAAAGAGTGCGCGTGCGCGACCGGGGCTCTCTCTCTCTCTCTCTCTCTCTCTGCTCGTTCTTCAGTTGCGCCCTGTCACAAGCACTACTGTCGTCTACATTACTCACCGATCAAATAAGACCATGGCGGGACAAAAAAATTCGCTTTGGAGCAGAAGCATCGATAAGAGGACTCGTTAACGTTAACTCGTTACATTATTATTTTGGTATGAACATTCACCCGCCAGTGGGGCGGATAGCCTTTTGAGATTTACTCGCCAAACGGAAAATCTAACTTACCCGCATTTGGCGCTTGGCGGGTGTTAATTTCGGACCCTGCGAGCAGCCATGTAAAGTTGCTACTTACATGTTTCAAATGATAAGCCATATTTGGATGGATGGATGATAGGCGAACGTTTGGATTTCCTGCCCGACATACTGTAATTACCACAAGGACCAGGCGTTAACAATCTGTCCCTCACGGACTGAGTGACTTCGCCACTTCCTTTTTTCTTCTGCGACTACCGACTAATCCTCTTCTAATCGACTAACGTTTAGTAGACTATTAGGGGCAGCCCTACTCTGCTTACAACTATTTATGAAAATATATAGTGGATAAAGTCTGTTGTAATTAAGAAAGAGACCTATGAGCAAGAGGCCTAGAAATTAGCAATGGTGAACAAGGCATTATGAATACTTTTATAATGCATTATATATTGGCCACAGGTAAAGTGTTACCAAAATAGGGTATTTAGGGGGAAAAAAGATAAAAATGACAGTGTGTGTTGCTCTCAACATCTCTAATGAAGTGTTAAATGGATGTACCTGAGGAACTGGAGCGGCTGCCCATACTGCTGCCCTCTCGATCACATCCTCCATTCTCCACCTGATCCAGCTTCTTACGAGCTACACAAAGGCACAAACACACAATGAGTTCTCTCATTCTCTTACAGTGACGAACACACACTCCTGGTAGAGACTGACACCTCAGTATCAGTAATGAGCCGATGACTGAGTGCTTGTACCGCTCAGTGCCTCATTCTAGCGCTGCACCTGCTGAGGGGGGTTATGACTAACCATAAAACTCCCACCCGCTGGGCACATCTGTAGCGTCCATCAAATATGTAGAATTAAGTTTCACATTTAACATGCAGACCTTGAGAAAGTTTTTGAAGATCACGGGGACCCAAATGGGAGAAGGAAAAAATAGATTTGTTTAAAAATACCGTCACATACTGTATGCCTCCTCCGACACTAAAAGAGAGTCCCAAGGCGCACGTTCTTCTCCCTTGCCCTCCCCTCCTCGTCTCTCCTCTCAAAGAAGAGATGCTATGAAACAGTCTTGTGCCCTAACCTAGGCTTTCCTGCGGCTACAGGCAGGCACAGATACATAAACTCAATCTGTCTGCAATGAACGTCAGTCTGCCCCACCGAGAGCGTCAATATGCCTTGATAATTACTAACAGTGCCTGTGGGCTCCTGGGAGCATAGAGAAGTAACTCACTGAGAGCCTATTAAAACAACACATCGAATTCTAGTTAAGACATCTACACACAGAGGAGATAAACAATATGAGAGGGGAACGATATAGCCTCTTTTCAGAATTGTGTTATGATTTGTTACTTTTTTTTTTTTTTTCATTTTGTATTAAAAACATTGGCATCAGTGGTTCTTAACCAGGGGGCAAAAAATGCGTTGTGGGGTTGTTCTGATAGAATAGACCGCAAGGGAAAAAAAAACAATGCTAAGAAAAACTAAACTTACAATTGTGCATATCAAGGATAGAAAAATAAATAAGCTTTTAAAAGTAAGAGGAATGCTTCCCATATTGACGTCAAAGGCCATGTGTCCAATTCTATGGTATTTTGGCAAGAGTTGCTTGGTACAAGCGAGCCAAATTAAGAAGATGCCAGCTTGGACCTGTTGTGTGACATGTCCTCATCCTCAAAAAACATGAACAAAACTATGCAACAGACCAAGACTACATTAAATACTGGTTTACGTGTTAAATGGTCATGGATTTAAATAATTTAGCATATTATTGTATTTATACAGTTCATTCTGATATTAACAAATTACAGTTTTTTTTAATTATTTAAGGTGATTTTGGTACAATAAAGAAATGTGATAATTTTGGTGGCAAGCGTTAAAAAAACAGTTTCATGCTTTATGTCATTAGTTTTCATGTGATGTCACATCCTTATAGGATCCCCACTTAGATGGCAAACCAAGGGTTTCCACCATTGCCCGACAGTTATTTTTATCAGGTTTGTACTGACCTGAGAAAATTCAGTTTACACCTTATTGATGATGCATACTTCATGCAAGCAGATGAACCCAGAATATAAACACAGTGCACAAAGTTTCCCATTAAGCATTTTTCCATAGAAAACCATTATAAAGAAAAGCTTGTTTTGTAAAAGCACCTGTCTGCGTTTGAGGTCTTGTTGCATTTCTCACTATTTCTGGCCTCTAAACATAAATCAATGCCTGAAAATAAATGTAAATGAAAAGTTATGTAAATGAAAAATAAAAAAGGACATTCATTATTTGAGCTGCTAACCCTGCGTGAGCTGCTTGGTGAGGTCTTTGATGTTGGCCGTCTGTTTTCTCTTCTGAGTGACCAGTTCGTCTCGTAATTCCTCCATGCGTGTCTTTAGTTGTGATGTCTCCGTCTGCAGCGACATTCTCTCCGTCTGCAACGCCAAAACTTCCTCCTGTCTCTGTTGCGCCTCTCTCTTCAACCTTTCAGTCTAAAAAAAACAGACAAACTGAATAATGCCTCAAAGTCTAAATGATTAAAAGTTGCGTGTGTGTCTTTTAAGGAGTTGCTACAATTAAACTGGCCAATCAATACACTTAAATACCATGATGTTTGATATCAAACTAGTTCACAGTGTTGGGATGCAACTAACCAAAAGTAGCAGTTATGTGACAATATCCTGGCTATTTTCAATAATAGTGTAGGTTTTCCAGTAACAAACAAACAAGCTATTTATTCCAACAAGAAAGCAGCGTAGTTGCTAGTGTTGTTGAGAAATCTCATTTGTTTTATTGGAATGGTTCATTTTAATATACGAGATCATAATCATTTAATTAGTCTCATCACTCAGTAGTGTTCCTGTGCAGCCTTTTACAGCACCTTTTGTGTATCTAATAAGTATTTAATTAAATTTTGTTGTTTAGAATTTTTTTCACTTCAGATAAAAATTTGCATTTTTATAATATATTGCATTTAGTTTAAAATTGCGTTTAAGTTTTATGCTCAAGGTTTATGCTTTACCCCAATTAAAGGTGCAGTAACTGATTTCTGAGAAACACTGTTGAAATTTGAAATCAACCCCAAAAAAACCCCACAACCCTCCCTTGACTGCTCTTTAGGGATGCACGATATAGGATTTTGGCCGATATTCGATATGCCGATATTTTCAGACTAATTTTGCCCGATGCCGATACCGATACCGATATATTTGTGTGTGTTTTTTAAGTGCAAAAAAAGCTTATTAAAGCTTCTATTAAAGTTCTCAGTCAAGAGCAGTGAGTGATTTCCTCTTTGTGTTTTGTTGTTTTATTAACATTAACGAGATAGTTCTCCCCAAAATTTAAATTGTCATAATTTACTCTCTCAAGTTTCTTTCTTCTGTTAAAATTATAAAAGTTATTTGGAAGAATGTGGCTAACCAAACAGTTGCTGTACTTCAGTGACTTCCATAGTATATTTAAGCACAAGAAAGAAATGAATACAGGTTTGGAACAACATTAGAGTGAGTAAATAATGACAGAATTTTTATTTCTGGGTGCAGTATCTCTTTAAGGACAAGCGGCAGCATATTATACTGTCTCTTTAAGAACTGCACGCGACGCGTCTAACATACACGCATTTGACAAGCAGATTTTCTCTGTTTGCTTTCACTTTAGACATAACCAACTTTGTTTATGTAAACCGTGTGTGTATTTGACAGTATCAGCGCAATAAGACTCGAAAGATTAGTCCAGTATGCAGACTCTGTGACAGGCTTGTAGTTCCTGTGAGCATCGGGTGTAACGCGCTCAGAAAAGCGGATGTTAGAACAGCGCATCAGCACGTGAATGATATGTTTACCTAGCAAGACTTTGACGCACATGCAAATAATGAACTTTTGTGAATTGCGGTGTCCCGTGACCGTGAGTGTAACTCTACCTCTGCGTTTACATGTGATGTAAATGTACGTCGCGTTGTACAGTATGTTGAGATGAAGGCGCCAGAACTGAACTGATACTATGATTTTTCTTCAAAAGCAGATCGTGGAGACATTTTAATCGTCCACGATCAAAAACCGTGAGACGCACACCCCTAGTTGGAAGTTTAAGTTGCTGGCGCTCATGCTTCGTTCGCGTCACGTGCGCATAGGAAACACGCCACCCTATCGGCAAGGCTCATCGGCAGAAATATTCATATCGGCCGATGATGGTCATTTTAAGCTTTTATCGGCCGATACCGATGTTGTCCCGATATCATCGTGCATCCCTATCTTCCCCCCAAAAATGCAAACATGCAATGCAAGAGTGGATGTCTCTTTATCATAGCTGAAGCGAAGCAAAATAATGCTTTACAAAAAATGAAGTGAAGATAACGCAAGAACGACAATGAAGAACAAAAAAATTTACACATTACACAAGATATGGTCGCCAGCAGCACACTAGCTCCAGACAAAAAAAATCCACTCCAAATGGTCCCGTTACTATAGCTAATATTACAATACCATATCTTGGTTCTGTGAAACAAATCAAAACCAATGTTTCTCACGTATGGAGCAGAAACAACGCAACCTGGGTCTGTTTTCAGGCCTTCCCCGCTTAGGTCTGTTCAGCGCTGGAAAGCTTTTCTAATATTAACGTGGGTCCTAAAGCTCTTGCCTGATCATAACCCTTCTTTTCCAGTAATATTCCTCTGACCTTTTCTCTTTTGTAATGTCTCCCAGCCATCTCTCTTTCTACAGTCTTTCTTGAAATCATGAGTTGATACACCCCCCTTACTGCTGATTGGGTACAAGTGTGTTGTGGTGATCAGTCCGATTTACTTTCAACAGCGTTTCTCAGAAATCGCTTACTGCACTTTTAAGATCCTTAATGTTTGTGTGCCAAAAAAATATTGCTTTGATTTTTAAAATAGTGCCTTGTATTGTAGTCAACTACTTTGAGGGTGGGTTTACGGTCATTTAACTACTTTTAATTACAGGTAGCTTGTTACTTGGCATTATACGGTTTCTAAGAAATCTCCCCAACACTTATATACATACAATCGTCTTACCATTTCAGAGAGGGATCTCTCGGTCTCCTCTAGTTTGCTGTGCAGCTCTCTGGAGCTGTTGTTCAATCTGTCCAGCTGGGCCTGTAAGCTGTTGTTCTCAGACTGGAGCTGAGCATTTTTACTGGTCAATTTCTCAGTGAAGCCCAGTAGCTCTGCCTCTCTCGTCCTGCTGCCTTCAATGTCCCTCAGCAGGTCAGTTATCTGAGAGTTCAGATTCTCCACCTCCTCCCGCAAGGATGCAATTTCCTGATCATCCCTGAGAAAAACACGCACACGTCAGACACGAGGACCAACACGTGTACAGATCGTGCTATTTAAAGGCACACTGTGGAACTTTTCAACCTTTATAATATATTACCAAAACCCATTGAGATGGTACATCGACTTACAATAGGTTGAATGACACGTCTGCCGAAGCCTAAAGGTGTCTGTATCGCTTTTACCAGCACTATGTAACTTCGGGTTTCGGGTAGGAACCCGAGCACAAAAAGAACTACAAAATTCGACCGCTTTACGGCATACGTCACTTCCCCCACCACCCCAACTTCCTCAAATTCTAACGTGAGAGCTCAACTCGCGTTTGATTGCTGGCGTCTGTATGTTGTCGTCATGGCTGAATCAACAGCTACTCGGAAGAAAGCAAAGATTTTGTCAGAGGAGACCAAAAGAAGAAAAAGGGAGAGTTTAAAATAAACATCGGCATATAGGTGTATATATAATGTAATATTTACTGCGAATTCGTGTAACAAAACTGATATAAGTCACAACATACTGCCGTATACAAATGTAAATGTTTTTTTTTTTCCTTTCAGCTCATATATGTTTGTATTTGTGTAAAAGGCAAAACAAACTGAAGACTACAAATAACGGAAATATGTAGTGAGTTATATCAGTTTTGTTACACGATTTCCCGACTACTCGATTTCATCTCCAACCCATTGCAAAGAGATCCTGAAGACGTTAATTGTTTACTTCAGGTGTGTTTGATTAGGGTTGGAGATGAACTGTGCAGGACAGATGATCGGCAGGAGCAGGATTGGGCAACCCTTGTCGATGCGACTTACCTGATCAGACATTGTTTTCTGCGTATGCTACTTTTATTCAATTTGTTTTCTTTATAGGATTTATATTATTAATCTTATATTTATATTATTATTTTGGTCAGTAGTGAATCGATTAACTTTCTCCAACATACAAATCAAATGCCGTCTGCACACACAAAGACACTGGAGGTTGACCGGTTGACTGTTTGTTGACTTTTGCGACAATGCTGCGGCGCTTGTGGCCTCTAGGGGCACTAGACGTGAAAATTACAGGTCGAGCGCACCCTAGTGGCCAAAAATTCCACAGTGTGCCTTTAAAGTCCCTGTAAAGTCAAAATTAAGTATGTGTTTTGAGTTTGTCACACCACAGAAAAATGTGTTATTAGTCACCCAGCCAAATTTGAATGATAAAAAAAGCCAGCAAGTACATAAAATAAGCTATCAAAATCTTGAAAAAATGAGCAGTAATCTCTGCTCTCAAACGCTGGGGGCGTGTCCACTGGCTGCGCTGAAACCACGCCCACTCGCGGGAAAGCTTAAGCTGCCGTCGACTCGCCACACTCAACTCTACAGCCGGAATGGATGCTCGCACGGTGGGCACGCACTGCCGAATGGCACCAGTTGTCGGCGCGACGGGAGGATGAAGGCTGAGGCGGGAGTCGGTTCGGCCCCATTCACCAGTAACAGCGGATTATCAGTGAATCCCAGACAGTTATCTCCGACGAAAGTTTATAAAACTATCCCGTGTAAAATGATCACTTACAGAGGCGGGTTTTGGCGGTGATCCTCAGCTCTCCATCAAAGGTGGCTCTTCACAAAATTAATCCACTTCTTCTTGATGTAATCGTTTTTCGGAAATTAAAATAAGGACACCGATCTGTTTTGTACGTGATCCGGTGATCGCATCCAGGTAGTACGCATTTCCGTGACGAAGGCATAGCTAGTAGCTAGCAATCTGTAGGCTGTGTTACTAATAATAGTACTGACAGTAACTCGCGATTGAGCGGCAAACTGATGTGAATGTGCTCTATAATATTGTTAGGAGCGGCCAGCCTCAGTGGCCTCAGTGCGTCATCAAGTAGGGGCGTGTCCAGGAGCTCAAGGGCTCCAGTGCGTCATCGAGCCCTGTTTTAGCCCCGCCCAGAAAATCCGGAAAATAGCAATGGTGAAAAACTGTTTAACGGTCTAACTCCACAATTCAGTACTTCACAGTTCACAGTCTTTGTAATATGTTTTAGCAATACATTTCTAACATTTATAATGTGTTTAGAATTTTTTTTTGAAATTGCCTTTACAGGGACTTTAAGCGTTTTCCACCCTTGGCTAGTTTCAGAATAAAGGTGTACCAGCATTCCCACCGGACCAAATGACTGCATAGGCTATAAAAGTACCCGACTGAAGGGTCTAAATTAATGTACTAAAGACGAGGTCTATCATTCTTGGGAATACAAATAACTCATCTGCAATGCAGAGTTTTAAAATAAGCTCAAAATAAGAATAAGCTAATACAGCTGACTGACACGTTTACGTGCCTACCAGAAGTGAAATGAGAGCAGGCCCTGTGAGGCGGCCACAGAAGTATGAATTATTCTGTCAGTGCTGCAGGGGCCCGTGTGATCACGCTACTGTGGATTCACATCCACCTGCAGTTCCTGCATCAACAGGGTCCACCGACTGCTGGGAGATCACTCAAGGTCAGGACGCTGTACTGATGCTCCATGTTCAATAGAAGCACGGCAAAATTAACAGTCTAAGGATCAGAGAGTCGGATGCAAATGCTATTCAATCATGCAAATACGAATAAAGTCTGTAGTGTTGGCTGGACTATAATAGACCTTAATGAGAGTAGAACGCATATTAATATCGACGTGAACAAAAACGAGGCTGAGGAAAGGGAGTACAGTCCATTGGTATGGTGTATTGAATTCTATATTTTCAGTTTTCTTTTTAATTTCTGTTTTAGTATTTTTTGTGTGCTTTTGTCTTGTTCGCTTTTTATATTTCAATTTTTTTCCATTTAATTTATTGTTATTTCAGTTTTAGTTTAAGTAATTTTAAAATATTTATTTTATTTCAGTTCCCTGAGCAACATTTGTAATCTTTGCATTTTCTTAGGCCTTTATCTAACATTTTTATTTTGTTTCATTTCATTTCAGCTTTATTTCAATTAACAAAAATATTTTTTTAATATAGTTTTCATTAACATTTGCAAGACTAGGGTAATCTACTTAATATGTCATATAGTTGTCTTTGTTCTTCATTTTATTAATGATTTTTTTTTTTTTTTTTTTTTTTTAATACAAGGCTTTATAACATGGTTTTAATTCTTTATTTATTCTTTACTTTATTAAATTAACAAAGGACAATTAATAATATATTTTATACATCTTAATGATAATTTCAACATGCAAGTAATTACTTAATTATATATATTTTATATATTATATATAATTTATATGTTCATTTTATTTCATTCATCGGTTTTGTTTTTCTATTATACTATAATTATTTTTATTTATTTATATGAACAAACAAGAATTACTACCAATGAACTAGTATATTTAGTAAGTACATTTATTAATGTAGTATAAATATACTACATTTATAAATAAACAATAGCCTAGGTTAATAAATGCTGTAAAAAGTGTTCATTGATTTCAATTTGTTAATTTAATTTGCATTAATACTACATTTCTAAAATAGTTATAATGATTGTTTCAATAGCAAATTATGTTTACTTTGCATTAAAACTGGTATCAGGAATTGTGAAACATAACTGGTATTGTGACAACTCTAGCCTCGACAAATGGATCCAATTTCATGGCCTAAAAAATGAGTCCTGAATATCAGATCTGAAAGGCAAATTGGAATTGGGTGCAGTGCAGTGCTACAAAGTTTAGGCTCGATGAGCTTGTAGTTGAGTAAATAATACATATGATATAGTTAGTGGTAGGAGGCTATTGGCACGAGTGTTCAGACCTCTGGTGCTGCTCCTCTAGTCTAGTGATGGCAGAGAGTTTTTCCCTCTGGTTCTGGATCTCAGCCTTCTGTCTGTTAATGATCTCTCTGTATTTGCAGAGTTCGTCTTCCCAGCGGGGCCGTTCATCCTCCAGACACTTAACCTGAGGGCCAGAGAGAGTGCCAAAGCATAAGATTAATGTACTTTTATAGTGTCATTTCAAAGAGTTATTTTTAGAAATGAGTTTCCACCTTGGTCCGGAGGGTGGTCAGTTCATCCATGCCTTCTTTAAAAGTCCTCTTCAGATCCTCCAACTCCTTAATCTTAGCCTTGTGCATCTGCCAATCAAACAAAATGACCATGAAAAACCCCTCTTTCAAACATCCACCCATTGTTCATTATTGTAATCACAATCAGCAGAGGACGCCTGCTAGGCAACACTGTTAATAATGCTAATGAGAATGCAAATGCAAGCACTATTTCTTGCACAGGGGCGACTCATTGATAAGGGAGCACACACTCTCATTTTCGGCCTCGGGTACTAATGACGCTTGGTGAATGGAGGCTCATTTACTCATAAATGCATTTAAAAGCAGGTGGCAAAGTGCCATAAGGACCAAGCGGCATATCTCAGAAAAGCAGTGGCAGAACAGCTAAAAGAAGCAAACCAAAAGATATACGAGGTGTAACAACATGAACAAACACTCATCCCCAAAAGCTGTAAAATAGACTTTATGAGGCCTCTGTGCCCTAGTGAAGCACATTACTCAAATATGAATTGGGAAATTTATATCATTATCGCTTGAAGTAAATATACAGCTCCTAGTAGGCAAGACTGTACTGATATCAATCAAACTTTCTGGATTTGTGCTCTTAAAATGAATTATACTGAAGGGAATCGGAGTGTAAATGAAGTGAAACTGCACCTCTAGATGGTCTGTCTGCTCTTGTTTTTGCTTCTCCAGCTCTCCTTTGGTCTCTCGTAGTTTTGCATCCAATTCATTTGACTTAATCTCCTCAGATTCCTGCAGGAGTCAGAGAGGGAGGTTTGAAGTTTGTAACAAGCCACAGAAATTGCAAATTAGCTTATCTCCCCCTAAATGAAGATAAGCCACACAAATTATGTTGAGCGGAGAACTAAAGCAACCATTTTTTAATAAATTATAGCAGAATACACTGCTTGAAATGCACATCTCCAACTCATTACAGATAACATACAAAAGGTTTTGCAGTCTACATGCAGGGCAAATATTTGTATATGGTGCCCTCTAGTGGTCAGAACTGATCTCATGTCATAAGAAAACACTACCTGGTACGTGCGGATCATGTCCTGGCAGTTTTTGCGAATCTGTTCAGTCTCTTCTTTAGCTTGAGTGAGCTTGGCGGTCGTTTCTCTTAATCTGTCTTTTGTTTCCTGTTATTGAAGTGACATCTCAATAAAGTGAAATCAGCAATACAGTGTTGTTAATGTTAACTAAAATGAAAACTAAAATAATTTTCGGTAATTTAAATCAAGCTAAAATATAATAAAATATAAATATTAGATGAAAAAAACGTTTTTAGTAAGCCGAAGAAAAAAGAAAAAAAGACAAAAAAAGAAAAAAAAAAGAAAAGAAAAAAGACAAAAGCACGAAATCCTAAAACTCTCTTATAACTATCAACACTTAAATAACTATCGATTCTGTTTACATTATAATTAATTACACTGGAATCGTTGGAATCACTTTCAGAGCAATTTTTACTTGAACTTTAAGTCCTTATTTTACAATGTTCTCTGGTTTACCTTGTGAGCATCCGTTTCACTCTTCAGTTTGTTCTGAGCCCACTTTACTTTGATGACGTGAGAATTGATATCTTCCTTGACTTTCTCCAGTTCACGGGAAAGTCTCGTCACCTCATTCTCCTACAGAAGCGTAATCAAAGACAAACACTCCTGAGAACATACATAATCAATGCATACTGTAGATTCACACACCACATAAAGCATCAAAATAAACTATTTCTTAATGTATGACCTTGGCATCATAGAGCTGCTGCAGGCGTCCTTTTTCCTGGGCCAGCGCGTTTCCTCGTCGGGCCTGCTTGTCTACTTCTGTTGTGGCCTCCCGTAACTTCTTCTCCAGCTGTTCCTTCTCCCTCCGCAGGTCCAGCGCTTCCTTTTCACCTCGAACATACTTCATCACCATTGTCTCCTTCTCCTGACGTGCCTCCTCACATTTCTTATTGGCCTGGGATGAGCAAAACATACATGTAAACACATGAACACGCACTGTTTACGGATCATGTGAGATCTGAAACCTTAAAAGCCTGGTTACCCGCACAAATATTAGTGGTTGACCGATATATTGCCAAGGCCGGTATATCAGCCGATATTGGCATTCTTAATTATCGGCATTGGCCGAGAGGTTTTTCTGTTTGGCCAATGTGTCTTATTTTGACAGCATGTGGGACTTTAATTTTGTCAGCGCGAGCGTCAGATCTCCCATTCTCCTCCTTCATTAGTTTGCTGTCTCTTTTTAGCAGTTCTGTCAAATAAATTATTAGACAGAGCTGTAAAAGAAAGTAAACATATTACCAGATTAATGAGTGCACTGGTTACACGGTTTACTTCCTTTTTATTCATACTTTTAACAGTTTCATATTTGTGAAAAATACTATAACAGGATAAAATCTGTTAATTTTACAGATTTATTTTTTTATCAAGTTCTATGATAAATCTTCTATTTCTAAAGTTCTATTTATTTCCAATTAAGTAAATATTATGTAGAATTGTAATGCATGTGTTCAGATTTATTTTTTTATCAAGTTCTATGATAAATCTTCTATTTCTAAAGTTCTATTTATTTCCAATTAAGTAAATATTATGTAGAAATGTAATGCATGTGTTTTTACCATCTATAAATGTATCGGATTTATAATCAGACATTGGCCAACCATCTCTCTAAGATATTGGCATCAGCCATAAAAAAAAAATCAATATCGGTCGACCACTATCAAATATACACTAACTATGATAACTTCTATGATTTATCATAGTTGATGTTTCCAAAGGCAGTGAAAGAGCAAAAGAGAGGCCCTCACACTTGACTGAGGAGTTTACATGAGAGAGAGGAGCTGTTTGAACAAGTCCTGCCAAACCAAACACAACTCTCTTTCCATATTTTGTGCAAATTTTGTGTGACGTTAGTTCTCAATATCTGAATGCTGGACTTCACATTTAGCTGCCGTTGAGTGGGATTATAAAAGGATGAGGACAAATGCAAATGGAAATGAACAAAACGCACAACGACCCTCCTTCAGTTTGTGCAAACATGATATCACTGTAAGACTGATGTGATTTCATTTTAAAGATGCTTAGAGACAGACTGAAAACTGTTTAAATATATTTAAGAGGGTTCTTATGCAGGGAGGGATTTGTTTGGACTGTCTCCATGGCGATGACCTCTCACCTGTTCAAGCCTATAGGCAATCTCCCTCTGCATCTGCTGGATGGCATTCTTAGCAGCCTGATCCTGGTGAACCAGTTTGTCTCTAGAGTCTTTTAGTTCCTTCATTAGTTCCTCCACCCGGCTTTCAAACTGGTAAAACAAGAGAGACAATCAGTTAAAATGTCATGACTGCAGTAACCATAAACATATTCATCATGACAACAACAGAGACAGCGCTGACAGACAGTAGACAGATCAAAGTTTACACGCCCAGTGAGTGAAATATGACTAAATATAGGCTACACTGGTGGTCAAAAGTTTGAAATCATTAAGATGATCCTTCAGAAATCATTCTAATATGCTGATTTGGTGCTCAAAAACCTTTCCAGTAATCAATGTTTCCACAGAAATACTAAGCAGTAAAATCTGTTTTCAACATTGATACTAATAAGATTTATTATTAATGATTGAGCACCAATAACAATTGATAATAATCTAGCACTAACTTAGCAAATTAGAATTATTCTGAAGGATCATGTGACTGAAGACTGGAGCAATGATGCTGAAAATTCAGCTTTACCATCACAGGAATAAATTACATTTTAAAAGATAATCAAATAGAAAACAGTTATTTGAAAATGCAATAATATTTCACAACATTACTGTATGTTTGATCAAACAAATTTAGCCTTGAATTGAGCAGAAGAGACTTCTTTCAAAAACAATAAAAAAAATTTAACTATTGCAAAATTTTGACATAACATGGCATCTTCATTTAAATGTCAAGTTCCGGACTGCTTATTCCAATATTAATTTGAATATATTTTCATAAGTGACTGAAAGGCTCCATTCAGGGTTTTGAAAAATAAATGCTTCTCTTTCTGACAACCACATGTTAAGTTTTCACAGTGCTGCTATTGAATGAAAAGTAAAGAGACAGGCAAGATTTCATTCAGAGGAAGCGATTGTCTGTGCGCCTATGTGGAGAAACCATGACCAAAAAACACGCACAATAGTTTCACGTCATTACTGCAACACTTAATTACGGCTTCTCGACCTGTCCCCTCCAGGCCGCTCTGTTTGATTTGTGTTATTACCCTCTATGACAGGGGGCTGTTTCAGATTGAACTGAACTACAGACTCTCTTAGCCTGGAGTCTCTCTCAAACAAACCCGCTTTTCCAGTATCAGATGAAAGCTCTTCAGCAAACAAGTGTTCTCTAATCAGTGCAAACGGGACAGTCATGGTTGTCCATCCAGATCCTGAAGATAATATAATGCCCTTGAGCACAACATACCTAAAATCTGGAAAAGCTGGAAATTAAATTGTAACATGAGTGCATGGATATACACTACAGAGTCAGTAAGATTTATTTTTAAAGAAATCAATACTTTAATTTAGCAAGGGTGCGTTAAATTGATCTAAAGAGACAGTAAAGACATTTGTAACATTACAAAAGTGTGCCATTTCAAGTAAAAGCTGTTCTTTTGAACTTTCTATCCATCCAAGAATCCTGAAAAAAGTATCCCATTTTACACAAAAATATTAAGCAACACATTTTCAACATTGATAATAATAATAAATGTTGCTTGAGCACCAAATCAGCATTATTTCTAGAGGATCATGTGACACTGAAGACTGGAGTAATGATGCTTAAATTCAGCTTTCCCATCATTACATGAATAAATTCAATTGAAATAGAAAAGTTTAATAACGCCAGCTGCCTTCTCACTCTCTTCTCTCCGACAGCAAAGTGAAACGCACCCGCCTCCTGTCACTCACTCCTCATTCGCTCCCATTAAAATAGTGCTTGTATTATGTATAATTTTACTAATTCCAGCAGGTTTCACGCCAGAGACTATTTACATAGAGACATGCCACTTCCCCAATCCTTAATACAACTATATAGGGAAAACCCATAACGCCAAAGATGGCGGTTGTATGCACATGCCCCGCCCCTCCCGCTGTAAAGCTAATCGTCTGCTTTTAACAGTCAAGCCGGGAAACATATAAGCCTATCGTCTGGTTCCACCGACGCATGCGCACAGTTGAGGTTTGCGACAGCGGAAAATATGTTACTGTTTGAAAGTGAGGCAGATTTGATGTGTTAGTTGTGTAAATATCAGACATCCCAAGTCTCCCGGAAGTTCCGGGAGTCTCCCGCAGATTGATAGCGGCTCCCTGATGACCGCAAATTAGTTCAAATCTGCCGGAATCTAGAGCGAGCGAGCAGTAGCGCGCGCACGACAGAGAGCGAGAGAACCCTTGCGCATGCGCAGTAAAAGTATAACCTGTGGGGAAAAAGGCGTTTTAAACCTTATTTTGGGGTAAAGTCATCACACTTTTTCAGCGATTTTTATCATATTTTATGAGTGTTTGTATACATGCAGTTTTTTATGTCCCGGTGACCAGTGAAAGTGCAGTTCTGGGTCTCTGCCCATTCATTTAGATAGGAGCCTGGTCTTGTTAGTCCGAAATAGCTGCCCGGAGGCGTTGCCAAGATGGCGGCCGAGTGGCATGACTTGCCTAAAAGGACTTTGTTCACGCTCACACCAAAAGAGCGCGCACCACTGATCTATATTAAGTGGAGCTCAATAACCGCCTCTCAAACAGCTTTTGAGTTGTAAGTACCAAATGAGTGACTTAGTTACTACATTTAAACAGTCCAATACATACAAAATTATGTCAAAATGCCCGTCTTGGCGAGTATTCAGCTAAACACAGTAAGTCTTGAAACCCAATTAGTTGAGAAAGATAACTCAACTTTGTGTAACAGTATATTGGATCCGTGCAGTAGCTCTTGTCATGTTAATAAAAGAACAAAAGACAAAGAGAAAATCACTCTCTGCTCTTAACTGAATAGGCTAGCTTTTGTAACTAATTGTAAGCATTCATCTATATTGAATTTTTACAATGAAGAATATCCAGTGTTATTTTACATTTGATTACCTTAATTTCTGTAGTATTTCTTCCCTGAATATACTGTATGTGTGTATACCCACCCGAACAACTTAAAGCCGTGTTTATTTCACATCTCTCTTTATTCTATTGCATTTATTTGTGCTGTTGTTTGAAATGTGTTTATTTGTTGTTATTTTATAATGGTCTTTTTACTTGTTTTTTATGAAAATAAAATTTAGCATTTAAGAAAAGTAGTTTTTTTGCTGTCAATTTCTTTCTTTGAAAGAAAATCAGTATCTGCAAAAATCGGTATCGGCAGGTCTCACACAAATCAAGAAAATTGCAATCAGTGCATCTCTAGTTGAATTGTGTGCATTTTAACTCATCCTTGTATTCCAATAATTGGACACACTGATAGCCAGTTTATCAAAAAAAACAAATAAAGCCAGACACACACACACACAAAACAATATATGGTTGTCATTACCTTCTTAATGGTGCAATGATGCTGTTTCTCCGTCTCCATCCTCTTCTTCAGCTCATCCCTCATGTTGTCTTTCTCGGAGCAGATGCCCAGAATCAGCTCCTGATGTTTCTTATTGTCATCAAGTAACCTGAAAAACAGTTACCAGCTGTCACCACTACCAATGTTAGCACATTGTAATACACTGGAGCTGCTGTACTGTGAAATAATGCTTCTTCTGTTGTGTCCATCTGTGATTTGCTTGTTGTCAGTGTGAAGCATATTTTTACCAGCTAAACTGGTGATCTAAACCATATCAAGAACAACAATTAATTGTTTTCGATAAAGTATCAGGCACCATGAGTCATAATGTAGAAAAGACCATGTGAAAGGAAACAGGTGTCCATGAGCGTCACCGATCAGACAATATTAACAGCAGGTCGGGCAAAGTATGGACTGGTTCCAATATGAGAGTCAGCCAGATGCCCTTGAAAAAATTAATAAAGGCAAACCAGGAGGGGGTTTTAGAGCAGAAAGGCTCAGGTTGACCACATCATAAAATATCAATAGCAGCACCACAACAAAATAAATCATAGCTGTGAGCCTGCAATGTGAACTAAATGTCATGAGTTAAACAGGCAATGACTCGTGAAATAAAACAAAGACAATTCTAATGCATGGTCTTCACTGGCTGGATGCAAAAGCATATATGCCAGGCTACACAGACAAGGCTTACACCTAGTCCCAGGCTAAAATGCATGTTTGAGCTGTCTTACCTGAAAGCAACTTGCACCGACATATCTTAAAATATGTAATTTACAGTGCCACTGTTTTGTCTCAGGATGCCAGTAATGTTTAGTTTTTTTCTAAAGCACGTTTATAAAAGCTACTTAAATGCCCTAATTGAACAAAGGTCTAATCCTGGCTTAATCTAACCCTTGTATGTGAAACTGGCTCAAGTAGTATGATTTATTAGCAAATTAATCTTAGTCAGTTCTTTCAATGAATCAGTCAAAAAGACTCACAGAATAATCATTGCTTTGAATCATTCACACAAGACATCATTTAATAACTGTTTAATAACTTATAATCTGTTTAATAATATCCAAAGAACATCAGTTTTAACACCTATAAAATCGTTATAAGGTGTAATAATAATAATATATAATAATAATAAGCCTATATATATAATCTATTAGTACATATATTTATTATATGAAATACAATTGCTGAAGGTGTCTTTCAATTTTTCTTATTTTTTTTGAATAAAAATCTATATAAAACTTTATAAAACTAATTACCCTTGATTATTTGACACTTTTGGTGGGCAAATGGGTACATTTTATTGCTACGCACTGACAATGAAAGATAGTGATGAACGTGAAGAGTAATTTTCATGCAGGCAAGAAAGGCAAATTAAACTAATGATTTACAATCTCATGCTGCTATAAATCTTATCACCAGCAGTGGACTATAACCTCTAGTGAGCTGATTGACATAGCTATTAATCAACAGCCTACCTCTTGATGGCTTTCTCCTGTTGGGAGTACTTGTACTGTACACACTTCTCAAATAAACCCATGGAGTTCTGGTCCTTCTGAAGTCCATTGGGAGGATGTCCCTTTCGGATGCCCTCTGACTGACTGTTCAACAGCTCATCCTCAAGCTCATCCAGTAGAGACTCCTGAGACAGAGAGCGCTGGATCTCAGACATCAGCTTCCTGCTGCAGTCCGTGTCATATGGGTTCATGTTGGAGTTGGATTGTGAGTTAAGGGGTACTGAAACAACATCTGGCAGTTCCTCACCCTGACCAGCTGGTGTAGAAGTCAAAGGAGTTCTGTTAAGTTCTGTTGGCCCATTGAATGCATCAAACTCTGTGGATGAAAAATCATCTGTCCCATTCAGAACAGATGGAGAAGATTCCTCTACCTCATTCTGAGTCCCACTTTCTGATTCTGGAACCACCCCTGCTGGTTCCTCAATTCCAGAACATCCGAGTTCTCCATCAAAAACAGCGGGAAGTGATTCTACAACACTGTCGTGGACAGCTAGGGGTGTCCTGGCATCATCAATGGATGCTGTTCCACTGTCACAGCTAGTGTTCCCGTCACCATGTGGTTGTTCTCCAGGTCCAACCTCTGGCTGAACCTCTGTGTGACCTTCTCTGTCCACACTACCTGGAAGAGTACCATCCAGCTCAAGACTGTCTTCATCCTGTTCTTTTAAAACAGGTTCACTCTCATTGCTGAGGACATAGGTTGACCCTTCCGGAACCATGTTGACCTCTGAACTTTGTGAGGGGTCAGAGGCAGGGGTCAGTTCGCTCTGACAATCCAACGGCTCCATGATCTCCTTCAGCTGCTGGCACTGGAAAACAAACCACACACAAGTGACTCACATGCACGTGAAACTCAAAACAAAGCACCTGATAAAAACATGACTTTTATGATCAACAATAAGAAGCTACCATAAAACATCTTTATCAAGGCATCACCAGGTCAAATAAAGCAGACACATTAATATGACTATTTTACATTATCAGATTTCCGTCTTTCACCAGGAAATTGGGATGTTGTGTAGCCAACAATTTTTGTGCAAAAACTCTCACAGTCGTCACACCTGCTGTCATGATACTGCCATTAATAGTGTCTGTCCAAACCCACACATTTCCATGATTGAGGTGTGGTCCTTTATTTCAAAATAAGGACACGGCTCTCCTTCCACCCGGAGGCAGTTTTGTGATGCCAGTATTGTGAAACTAAGATGGCCCGCCTTTCTCACGCCCAATTTGCCTGATACGTCATTGTATTAGGATTCAGTGGCTTCCTGCATTCCCAGCTAAATGCCTATACATAACACTGGAGCGCACAAAAGAAAATACTTGGCATTGAGGAAAAAGACACTGATTTTGTGTGATTCACACTAAATGAGTGAAACTGGGGCAGAAACCCATCCAGCAGGATAAGAATGTGTTACAAACACTATCAGGATGAGTCTTACAATACCTGGCTATTTTGAGAGCTTACTGTGAGAGTTAACTTGTGTGCGAGAGAGAGCGAGGTGGGGGAGATGGACCTTAACCCAAACACCTTGAGCCTACATAAAGTTTATTTTTTAATCTTGTATTGCAGGTAACAATGGCTCTACCATTTCTTTGAATTTTTTGTAAATTTTTTGTATTTTTGTAGGGCCGTTTAAAACGCTTTTTTCCCTCTCATTTTTAACTTCGAATTTCTCTTAGCTTCTTAAAATCTGGGAATGTTTCTACAGTTGGGAAATTCAATAGGCTAGACCCATTTTTAAACCGTCAAAACCTTTTCGATAGTCTGTCAGTGTTTTTCAGAATTGGTAGCCTACATATAACCTACATATTACAAAATGTATTACCACAAAATATATCCAAAAGCTTTGTCAGTGGATAATACACAATTTCTGTTTGAGAGACAAGACTTGTCTGTTGTAGGACATGATGTGCAACTGCCAATAACTCAACTTTAACTTTAAAAGGTCACCAGCTTCTCATGCCTCTCTACAAGCAAATATTCTTAACTGTCAACTAGCACCAAACTGAAATGTTTGATATTTCAAACTCACAGACACTCAGTGAACATACTTTAAAAAGGTGTTAAATGGATGCTAAACGACTACAATACACTTTTTAGTCAGAACTTTCAGTAGAAAAACATTTTGACTCACATTGAAAAGTTAAGCAATTTCCAACCCACGTTAACTTCCCTTTTTCCTCTTTCTTATCAGTGTTTGAAATGTCTCTGTTTCTTTATCTTCAGTCTCACACATCATCATATTATTGCATTTCTTCTGTAATTCTACAGGGGAGGATGGACAGTACTCAGCCCACAAAACCAACCATTGACACATTTTCTCACACCAAACAAGTTATTTTATCTATAAACAGCATTAAAAGAGGAATAATAGTAAATAAAAGCTGTAATGATGATTATGTTGGTAATTTTGAGGCGAGTGACAGATACTGCTGTTTCCACACAGGTGCAGTTAGCTTTAGCACACCGGCTAACCTTTCCAAATATATCACATTCTACGTGTTAATCAGAAAACACCTGCTTTGTCCACACGAATCAAAAGAGATACGGTGTTAATGTAACTAATTATTGAATGGTCAATTATTTTAACACCTACAATACAAAAATACACACATTGTGAATTGTGTGTGTGCTAATCTAGACCTTCATAACATTCTCAGGCTGATATGAGTTTTAACCGCTATATTTAACTATAACAAGAAATTTTGCTTGCTATGATGATATGACAAGAGTGTATTTATTAATTTTGTAGATTATAAGTATGTAACAATAGTATATCAGCCAGCTGCCACTGAGTTCACCCAATGACTTAACGTTAGCTTTCAAGCTAATTAAATAAACATTCGCTTTTGCAGTTGGGATCTGGATATTTTGGTTTAAAATATGTGACTTACCGGTTATGTTAAATCCATTTAAAATGCCATACACCAGCTGCAGAGATAAATAGTGAGAGTCAAGTCCGTGTAAGTGATCTCCTCCCGAGGTGACACATCAACAATATGGCCCCTGAACGCACAGATAGCGAAGAATTGCGAACACCGAGATGGCCAGCAGGCAGTTACCTAGAACGCAGGATCAAATCTCGCCAACAGGGGGAGCCAAGTCGCCCACATTACTTTTCTGAAGAGTTTCTGGAAGACCACATGAATTTCATTTAAATTAATTTGATCCGAGGGGGTGTTAAAATACTTATATAGGTAAGAAACGTACTGTCAAAAAATGTAAATACGCGTTCTGGCTGTATGTTCTATTGTAATCTAAACCAAACGGTAAAGACCGGAAGTCTGGTAGCCTATGGTTTAAAGGCTCCCTCTTTGTTTTTGTTGTTGATGTAGCGTAGCGTTTGTTAAATTTCAGGGTATTTATAAAGTATTTTTTTTATATATATATATATATATAACTATAACTGATATGTTATAATATTAGGCCTATAATAATTATGATAATGCATAGACAAAGTTAACAACACATCTTTTTTTTGGGCAGGATATGGAATATTTTGTTTTTAAATAAGATATAGAAAATAAAATGTGAATTTTTTTGCCCAATTAATCAAAGAAATAATTATCAAATTGAATTATCAGTTTATCAAATGTTGCAGCCATAATAACTTCTGAGTAAACCGCATAAAATAAGTAGCCTACCGTTACATCTAATTTTGATGTCTTTAAAATCTATTATATTGACCACCTTCATAAAGTTAACAGGGTAGGACAGTTCTACAGTTTAATTTGACATTACAAGGCTTATGTTTAAAGTCATGAAACTACAAATTGCTTCTTTGAAAGAGAATTTAATTCTGACATGTGTAAAATAAAATATCCACTGTTCATTTATTACTTACTAACACAAAATCATGGTAACAGAGTTGGCATTTTTAGATTGTCTGACAAACATTACAAAAATTAGAAAGTAATTAACAATGGGAGATTTTAACTTGTCTTTGTCCACTTATTGAAAGAATGATTATGTAATTATGAAAAATGAAAAGTATATAAACATATGGAATTGCATTTGGGTGGAGGCATATCAAATAATCTGTGTTGGTTTCTGCTATCCAAGGCCGATGTATGCTTCTCATTTGTCGCTTTGGATAAAGGCCTCTGTCAAATGAATACTGAAAATGTTCCAGGCTGTCCTAATCAGGGAGAACCTGGGAGAACCTTGAAAAACACAGAACCCAATTAGTCAGATCAGTTGTACTTTGTCCTACTTTTTCAAGAGAGAGTCATGCATCGTGACTTCTAAATGTAGTGGCTCACCTCCTTGGACTGATTTGCACCAAGTTTAAAACGACAGCAGATAATGTCAACAAAATACCCAATCAATCTGTGAAGCAGGTCTGTGTCAAGAAGAAGAAAAGTCTATGAATGTTTGGCTATGATTGGTCATGCTGCTGCTGCTGCTGCTCATGTTCACAAAAGTCCATGCATGCTCACATTAATAATACATTTTGTGAGCTTGATAATATGTTGGATAATATTGAAAACGACTTTACAATAAAAAATTAAATATATAACTTGCCTTAAACAATAAAAACATTTACTGTAATTGATTTAGACTTATATTTAGATTGTATAGTGTGTGAAAGTTACCTGAAGTTGAAAAGATTCCCCCGATGATGCCACACAATCTCACAAGAAACACAGAGAGAGGCATATGCTCCTCGCTCACCCTCACCATTAATGGACTCAGTTTATACTTAACAAAGATCCCAAATACACCATGGCTGCCTTTCTCTTGGCTTACAACCCTCTCCTGTATGACAAGGCAACATGATCAACAGCAACACACACTTTCACACAGATACACATGCATGCACAGGGCACACATATAACCTACCCTTTCTGTAACAGAAAACTGGTGCATGTCCACTGAAACATCCGATGTGTGCAGTTTGGTGGGAACAACTGTGATAAAATACTGAAACAGCATATTTTCTGAAAACACAGATTAAGAACACATCTGCTGGTACTGTACTGCATGTAGAAAGAGGCATTCTCTAATTATTTACATACACATTTAAATTTATTTGCATACATCATGTCTAGACTCTGCATGCTGTGCTGTGAATTGTATTTGACAAACATTGAACTATAAGAAAAAGACCTACGCTCTGATGCAATTTTTTCCGTGCCATCAAGGGGATTGATGTGTCCAGGAACATCGTTTCCAAAAGACAAATGATCTATTCGATGTGAGAAGTTATATACTGCTGGAAAAAAAAAAAGAGAGATAATTGTGAATATAGGGATTGCAAAGTGTGAGCCCTCCACCTAGAGGATATCTAAAGAATTACATGAATTTTCAATTTGAAGGTACTGAAATTTCTTTAAAAGTTGACAACCACATAATTGAAATAAAGACTATTTAACCCTTTGATGCGCAAGCTATGGATACCCCCTCTAATGCACAACATGGGTCTAAAAAGACCCGTATTCATTTCCTATGTTATTTCATGCATGGCTTGGGAATTTTTTTTTTTTTCACCTTTTGAAATCACTTTATTTAAGCATTTAATATTTCATGATCTATAAATTTCATGATTTATGAATATTCTAAATATCTTCTTTTCAATTATCACAAAATTATATTTTAATATTTCCTAGGTTTTGTGTTAATACATCAAGTTTACACATATGGGTCTAAAATTACCCATCTATGCAAGCGTGATAAAACAAAAGAATAAAGAAAGCTTTTTGTTAAAATAACCAATGTCACAGTTGTTTAGATCAACACATTTACTGTAACACTTGAAATAAGTTTATTGGCCACTTTGTCACACATAACACACATATAACCGATAACACTGAAATTAAACTGTAGTGTAGTGCAACTGTAGGGATCTCCCCGCCACCATTGATCTCCCCACCACCAATGTGCAGCATCCACCCGGATGATGCGACAGCAGCCATAGTGCACCTGAACGCCACCACGCGACGGCTTATGTGACCGATAGCATTGATTTATGACCACAAATAAAAATGAATATGGAGGTACAAGGTTTCTGCCCAACAGCGACAATATATACTTGTGTATATATAACTTTCTATTGCAACTTTTATTTTGTTGACCTAGCTATTAGATAAAATAGAATATGTCGACCGCAAGCTAGCTAATAGTATTGGACATTTTTTTCTTTTGCACTAGTAATGGATTTCAAGGTCAAGGTAACCTTAGCCTAAACGTTCAAATATTAGGTCATATCTAGATGTCTTTCACAAAATATCAAATATTTTCTTAAAAATTTATTAAATAAAACTTACATGCATGAAATATACAAAAGCAGCCCTGTTGAATTGTGAAATGTGTGGCAGATGAATAGTTTTCTGCAGTAAATATATTTATACTATTTATAAATTTCAAAGGTTCCTATATGGGTAATTTTTTACCCATGTGTGTAAAATTGATGTAGAAATACAAAAACCGTGTTTGTTTATAAAGTAAGAAAGGAAAAATAAACATAATGATTTGTGGAAATCAAAAACAAGATATTTAATGAATACCTGGATTAATAAATGATAAAATACATTTCTTTCAAATATTCAGCAAAGAAACATGAACACGGGTCTTTTTAGACCCATGTTGCGCATTAGAAGGGTAGTGATACAAAAACGATTTTTATTCGAAAAGTAAGAAAGAAAAAATTTAAATAAGGATTTGTAATGATCTAAAACAAGTTAATTGAGGAATACCTGGAATACTGAATGATGAAATGAATTTTTTGCAGATATAGAAAATGAAAACTCAGTCGGGTCTATTTAGACCCATGTTGTGCATCAAAGGGTTAAAAATGGCACAATATTCCTCTAAAACGATGACAATGATATTTTGACAAGTAAGTGTAAGTAAAACGTACCTTCGTTTTTGATTAATAAAGCAAAATGGGCATGACCTTTGATAGTTTCAATTGGTCTGAGGACAGAATCAACAAATAATTTCATGTAGAAGACATGTTTATAAAGGCAGCAGTATTTCTGTTGCTAAAAGTGCATACTTACTTGCCTAGTGTGATATGGAAGTTCCCTGCCAGTTTACTGACATAGATTTGTCCATGTATCCTACATGCTTTCTGGGATTCGGATTCAGAATCATTTCTGCGCAAAGAAAAAAAAACAGAAACAGTGCAGGATTAATTAATTGTTTGTAAGGGAAAAGCTTCAGCATCATGTAAAATGAAATCCTGAATAAAATTGAATGTAATGTCTTTCTGTTATGTGGATTTAAATAATACCAAGGTTGTTTACCTAAAATATGATTACATTTCATTGCATCATGTACTTTATTGCATCAGCACTGGACTTAATATTTTTGCAATTAATTAAACAGATGTACCCTGGAACTGGGTCAGAAAAGTATCCTTTCAACGCTGATTTAAAGAGTACGTCTTGAAGTGAACGCTCTTCCCTCAGTCTGTTTTGAATCTGCTGTAATATCCTTAGATACAATAATCAGAGGTGAAGACTTATAATGCACACATGCACATGTCTGGACAACTGTGCATTTAAGTGATAACTGACAAACAAACTGTACATACTGATACCACATTTGTCTCTGTGGAGAGGGCTCGAAGCTAACCTGAAAAACAAAATCACAAAACAGTTTCTATTAACAGTTAATGAAATCTGAAATGCAGTGGACGGTTTGCAGTTACTTACAGGATCATATTTCAGTTCCTTTGATGCAATGACAGTGCCAGCAATATCCAACACATCTGCACCCACCTCTAGACAAGAATATGGTTTTAAAATCTTATACGTGAGATATGTTGATTGATTCAGAATAATGAATACAGTCTGGGCATAAAATGTTTTGAAAAATAATTCCAGTGCATAACAGATGCACTTACTTTCACATTTCATGGCAACTGTGATGTCAATTTTTATCTTCAATTTACTGCCGAAAATCAAAAACAACAACAAAACAAAGTTAGGTCAGGTCCTATAATTTCTTTAAAAAAATCTCAATAAATATATTACAACAGGCAAAAAAAATACACACCTGGTAAAATCTGTGTCTACTTCATATTCATATTTCATCCATGTGTCCTGGTACACAAGATACTCTGATATGGCCAGAAGTGCCATGAGGATGAAAACAATCAGTGACACTGGAGAAGACAACCAAGAAGTCTTAATCAGAAACAGGTAACATTACAGGTCACAACTACTGTAATATTCAAACAGCAAATGTCAAAATTCACCTGTGCCTCCAAAAGCTGATGTTACAACACAGCTCTCTGAAACCTTAGGAAAGCCATCTAGTTCTTTCACTATATCGATAGTATTTCTTCTGCTCAGTCTTCTCATTGTAGTTATGTCAGTAGTCCTGTACTTGCAAAAACATGACTATGAATAGGGTTTAGTTTAACTAAGATATCACCATACTTCCCAAGGTGATTTATCACAGTACATTAAGACAGTTGTTTTGTACTACAAGCTTTCTAAAATGCTAGCCCGATTTCACAGACGGGGCTTATAGGATTAGGCCTTAGTTAAATTAGTACATTTAAGTAGATTTTATACACGTGCCTTAAAAAAAAAACATTACTAGCGTGCATCCTGAGACAAAACAATGGCACTGGCATTTTAAGATATGTCAGTGAAAGTTGGTTTCTGGTAAAACAGCTCAAACATGTTTTAGGATTAGTCTTAAGCCTCGTCTGTGAACTGGGCATTCATTTTAATATGCAAATGAGGCATTATCCAATTAAATATGAAGTAATTTATTACAATTTCCAAAACAGAAATCTGAACATTGGATAAAGTCAAGTTTAAAATTCTTGTTTTCTTTTATTGACATTAGAGTTAAAGGTTTTTGAAGATTGAATGGGGATTTTGGGGATTTTATCACTCCATTAACAGACAGAAAAATAATTTTAGGAATAATGTGTTATATGTCAGATTCCTCTGTATAATCCTTCAGAATATAAATATAATACAACTGGAAAGTTTGGCTCAGTGCATGAGAAAAAAAAAAAACTAATTTCGAGAAAACGACTTTATTAAAGATCTATTGTAATTGAAATCACTTTTACCCCCAGTTTCACAGACCAGGCTTAAGCCTCAGACTAAAATGCATGTTTGAGCGGTTTTAAAGCAACTGAACTTGCATTGACATATCTTAAAATATACGATTGATTTGTCTCAAGATGCACACCAGTAATCTTCTTTTTTCTAAGGCACGTTTATAAAAACTATTTAAATGCCCTGGCTTAAACTAAGCCCTGTCTTACTGGCAAACAGCTATACTGTAAATAGGATCATTCTTCCTGTTCACTCAACTGAAATAACTGTGCTATATTTGACTCCATTTCAGCACAATCAACTCTAAAAATCAAACTGACATTAAGTCACAACAAGACTGATGCAAATGTAGCTTAAATATGTCTTACCTTTTCCCTAAACACCTTTAAAACCAGGCTTTAAACACTTCACACTTTCCAATGGGACCGTCCATTTACTTCCATTCAAATATGCTGTCAACCACTGCCACATAGTGGAACAGCTGGTTTTTCCGGCTAAACAAAAAAGCACATGGTTTCCGCAGCACAAAAGTGGAGTGACAGAACTGAAATACCTTGGCCTGATACATCCCTGGTTATGTTATTATGCTGTGTAAACTGACATAGGTTCTGTCATATCATGGCAGAAGCTTTAGCCAGAACCCAGTTGGCAATTCATTGACAGTATATTCTTTTGACAAAATAAATAAATATTGTAGGCTATTCACAAACACACATGCTTTAATCACAAACATAACACATGGGAGAAACACAGAAAAAACAAAACACAAACACATCCAACATAAGCAAGAACAAAGAGCCAAGGGAAAGAAAGGCTTAAATACACAGGGCAAACAAAGGGAGCTAAATGAAACAGGTGAAACTAATCAGTAACTATGGAAATAAACTGTCACACACTATGGGCTGCATCTCAAAAATTAGGCAGCTGACTTGTTGCCTCGCTGCCTTATAGGCAACAACTCTGCTTGCAGCTTTCGCGCATGAAAGTACCTCACGAAACTGATTTTGGGCAGACTTCTGAGGCAGCGTAACAATTTAATGATCTACAGTAACAGAGAGAGCTTCGGTGAGAACTAAGCAAATATTTCATTACTACAGTAGTAATTTCTCTCTAGAAATGACATCAGAAGTGGAAAACATTGGTCAAAAACATTTACACACAAATTGGTCAGTAACCACAACTCTCTGACACCATCTTTATTTTCCGTGATCAACTGCCTGTCACTGAATGGAACGCAGGGATATCAAAGGCAGCGACAGATGCATTTTCTGCTTCCTTCAAAAATCGATCAGATGAAGGTATCTCAGTAGACAGGAAGTGAAGCTATTGGATTCGGATGTGCCTTGAGGCTTTCCTACCTTGGAATGAGTCATCTAAGGCAGCATGTTAAAGTTTTTGGATGCAAAAATAAAAAAATAAGGCCAACTTACAATGACAGGGAACAGGAACAGAACAGAACCAAAAACACAATGATATGTTTGTGACCGTAAGTGGAAACTTATTTTTTTTCCCCCAGTTCAGATATTCATTTTATCAATATATTTAATCAGTGAAGGGGGGAGTAGAACAGCAAAACAAATAAGACTCTTTACAGCATTCAATCTTTATGTATTTTTACAATTTATTTGAATTTATTTTAGAGACTTTCGTTTTAAAATGTATGCACATATATTGAACTTTTACTTTGAATTTCATTCTAATGAATTTACTTTTTATCTTAATCCACCATGTATATTACTGTAACTGTTTTATTTTTCGTGTCTATATCTGAAAATTGTAATGTAGATTTTGCCTTTAAATAAAGCATCAATATGTTGCATTGACTTGATAGTCAATGTGAAAAGCAGAAGGCTCCTCAATCACGTGAAGTCCTTAGGTCGCAGAGGTCGTTCAATTGCGCATGCGCAAACAATTCCTAAAGCACGAGGTGGTGTCAAGGGTAAGAACATCTCCATCTTTCATCTCTGCAAGAATACATTCGGGAAAGTTGTTAAGTACTTGTATTTAATTTACACTTATCAAGTTGTCTTCCCTAACCTGCATAACGGGTACTTGAATAGAAAACTTGCAATGTCGATTAATCTAGCAGGCCACGTGTAAACAGCTCTGCGTCATTCTCAGTATCAATACCATAGACTTACTTACATTATTATATTCATTACACTGGGTTTTGCGGTTAGTTCAGGGAATCTAAGTTCAGTTCACTTTTATAGAAAAGGAAAGCATATCAGCATGCATTCAAGGCGTGAACCAACTTTCTGCACACCTGGTATTGCTAATGCACGGGCATAACACTTTTTTTTCTTCATTAAATTGTTTTTGCAAAAACGGGCAGTTCCGACACCAAACATTTTAGATACCAGTGAAAATTCACAATTTTCAGTTACAGAAATGTAATAAAGTGATCAAATGTAATATAACACTGCATTGTCTTTACTGTATAAATTAAACGTATTAATCGGTATAAAAGTTACAATGGGCAAGTCAATAGCAGTTAGTGAGGGATTTTTTTTCCATTGTCTTTTGTTGTTTGAGTAACGTTAACATTGAGGCGAATAGTGTCACTTCATGAGCAAGTACTGATGCCTTTTCCTTCTGAGCTGTTTATATTCACTTAAGCCATAACTGTCTCTGACTATGCTTACGACGATACTCGACATCACGGGGTTTTTCAAGCTCAAGAAGTGAAAAAAGCTCAGTTTAATATTCGCGCGCTGTGAGACGCGGGGATCTGGGCGCGCGCTTCGGATGTTTGCGCACAGATAACTTTCCACACAGCGAGAAATGCGAATTCTTGCACTTAAATATTTCAATTGGCATGGCTTTAACTTTCGTGACGATGCATCGCTGGCCTGTCAACTGTCCCGAGCCTCGTTCATGTTTTCAGTCACAACATTGCATATGAATTCATAAAAAATATTACAGGCCAACTGCCAATTGGCCCTCCACGTTCATTAAACCCTATGTGTCACTTTTCTTGCTTCACATATACCTATCTGAAGTTGTAATTAAACACACCTGAACCAAATATTGAATGTCTCTGGGTTCACTTGAAAATGACAGACAATTGCATTGTAGCAGATTTTGAGCTAAACGCTACAGGAAGTTAGATTTCCAGGAGTAGGATTGACTACTGGTTTATCTCACATACACACAGACACGCACACAAACTCATAATACTGACTAATAGTGTATATTATTTTACCTCACAGTGAAACCAAGGGAAGAATGAATCGATCTTTTACTCAGACTTTGGTGAGACCCAATCTCCCTTTGAGGAGACCTGCGACTGGACCGGGTTCACTTAGTCCTAGAGGACCAGCACCAGCAATTCAGGAGCTCGCTCAAGAACATCTTCTAGCAAGTGATGTTCTAGAAGGTATTGGTTAAATGTTTTTGAGCATTTTGTCATTGACTCTTGAAAAAAACAAAAAAACAATCTAGATCACTTTCTGTTTCCATTTCTTTAGATCCTAAAAGTGATGCTGTCAGAAAGGAGAATGTGATTTCTGCAAAAAACAATGTACGTGATAATGCCTCTATATATGATTAAATGTGTATCTTTTCAAGTTAAAAAAAAAAAGTCAAATACTATTCTTAATATGCTAACAATGGTTGTTTAGCTATGTAGATATATTTGTAATATTTTCCTCTTGAGACTTTAACCAGAGATCAGACAGCTTTGATAGTTGTCTGCTGTAGTATCAATATTTAAAGCGTTTAACTTTTCCACAGTGTGTAGATTTCTTGTCTCCCCCACAGACAGCAGGGTCCATGCTGGGCCCACTGGTAAAGTTGTGCAATTACTGCAGTCACCAGGGTAGGTTACTTTGCTTGATTTCAGTCAGTTCAACTTGCTTGCTTTTATTTGTTTGGTATTACTAGCATTTTAAAATTGATAACAACGACTTCGAAATCTGATTGGATGAGTCAAATTTCAAGACATGATAAAATAGCCAACAGTAATTTTTTTTTTGTCACTCTACAAACGTACATTCTCGGATCAGAATACATTTAACTTGTGAAGGAAAATTACTTAAAGGGTTAGTTCACCCAAAAATGAAATTTCTGTCAGTAATTACTCACCCTCATGTTGTTCCAACCCCGTAAGACTCGTCATCTTCAGAACACAAATTAAGATATTTTTGATGAAATCTGAGAGCTGTCTCACTCCTTCATAGGCTGCTAGGTAATTGCATCTGCTGGCCCAGAAAAGTTAGTAAAGACATCGTTAAAATAGTCCAAGTGACTACTGTGGCTCAACCTTAAGTTTATCAAGGGACCAGAATACTTTTTTGCGAAACCCTCCCCCAAAAATAACGACTTTATTCAACTATTCATTTTCTTCCATGTGGGCCTCTGAGTGAATTCACGAGAGCGCCATGACGCATGCTCAAGAACCATCTGCGTCATCTTCTCAGTTCTCGGGCATGCGTCGTGGCGCTCTCTTTTTTGTGCACAAAGTATTCTCGTCGCTTGATAAACTTAAGGTTGAGCCACTGTAGTCACTTGGACTATTTTAACGATGTCTTTACTAACTTTTCTGGGCCGGCAGATACAATTACCTAGCAGCCTATGAAGGAGTGAGACAGCTCTCAGATTTCATCAAAAATATCTTAATTTGTGTTCTGAAGATGACGAGTCTTACTGGGTTGGAACAACATGAGGGTGAGTAATTACTGACAGAATTTTCATTTTTGGGTGAACTATCCCTTTAAAATATTTATCATTTGTTCCAAATTTAGTTGATGCTTAAAACAAGAAATATCTGTCAGTGGGTTAAGAAAAAGACTTGTTTACCTCATTAACAGATTTTTTTTTTCCTTGTTTAAAGTATAAACTCTTAATTTTGATAAATTATTCCCGAAAACAATACTTAAATATAATTTAACCCTCTAGGCGCCACGGTCGAGTTTACTCGACAAGATGCGGCACTGAATAAAACGGCCGATTTTGTCAAATTGGGTGTCAAATTTCGTTCGACCTCCCCTCCACTGGATGGCAGACATGTCATACTTCATCCCCGAATCAAAAAAAGTAATGTTTCTATATAAAATGTTCGAGTTAGAGCGCATTGAATCAGTGCGATCAAAAGCGGAGCTAGTGTGCGAGTGAGCCATTTTATCAGATCCTCTCCGCAATCGCGGCGACAGTATTGTGGTGGAGACTATGTCTAATACCACTGGGTATGTTAGACGAGGTCGAAGTATTCATAGGACAGTTAGGAGACAACGTGGAGGCAGGGTGAGGAGTCACAATGACAATGACAGTAGTCCGAGCTCTGCACATTCGGCGTGCGCGCGAGGCAGATCTGGCCGCGCTGCTCGTATCATGTCACTCATGATCTGTGCGAGTGAGCGTTTGAACTAAACAGGTCTTGTCTACTTGTGTTTGTATGTCATATGAATAATATATATGTGCCCCATACATGGAATCAGAGTACCTACTGTATTTAGTAAATGGAAAATCTCTACAGCAAAAGGCCAACCACTACATGCATTCGGTTTGTTTCTACCATTTATTAGTAATGATTTACACAGTTTGTTTACTACTTACTATATACCTGAGCATTCAGTATTGTGCAATATAGCATACAGAAGGTGATGGACATTTTTTGGGGAAAGAAGTGCTGCATTTTATCATTTAAACATGTGACTTTTCATGAAAATTCTATAATCCAAGATTGCCACCACCATATGATGTCATAATATGCAAATTAGATGGGAAAATGTAATCCCAACATAAACTTTGGGTCATCCTTAATATTTCTCTAATTTACAGAAAGTCTTTATCGTTTATCACTTTTAAGATATAGCCTTTTGAAATTAAGATGTCAAAATCGAACGTTTTAGGAACAAACCTCTGGCGCCTAAAGGGTTAAAGGTACAATATGTAAGAATTTTCTAATAAAAAAGTCTCCAAAGATTTTTTATTTCAGAGAAAATCCAATTTTAAATAAGTGGCCGTCCCGGAAAAAAATGTCGCCTATCAATGACGCAATATCCGCGCTATCCTCGGTTTCCGTTCATACTGCCATAGCCATGATGTAACCATGGCGACAGACGTGGACAACTGCGTAGTGTGTAACGTTTAGCGGCACGCAGTTCTTGTTTCTTTCAAACATAGACCATGGCAAGCAGACTTTGGGACAAACAAGGAGAACTAAAATGAGGATCAATATCAGCGTGGTGTTTTTGAGATGCCGAGAGCTTCACGAGTCAAGACTTGACAGCTTTATTAACATTAGAATAATGTTAATTAGAATAATTTATTAGACAAGTGAGCAAACGTACATAAAACAAATCAATGTTATATAACGTTAGCTCAACATGATGAAATGTTAGAATATGGTCAGTATATTATTTTAATGTTGATCTAGCTTACTGCTAGTTTTGTATAGCAAACGAACTAACACGTAGAATAACATTATAACTTTCAACACACATTTAAATGCCGTTTAGTGTGATAGTGTAACGTTAGACCAAGTGAAGCAGCGCTGTGTTACCTCACAAGTTTAATTCGTCTAATAAACTGACCTGTGTGAGTAATCCAGCACTTGCGGGTAGTTCGGTAGAATTAAATGTCCTTATTCCTTTATATCCGCGGGACTCGCGTGTGATATCTGTCTCTTTAGCAATCGCGACCTGCTTCATACCACTGTAATGTTAAAAAACATGAATGTTTGCACTCATCCATAAACATTATTAGATCCATCAACTTGACCATTCAGCTCATCACTGCGTCATCAACCTATGCCTTTGTTATTGTTGGAAACTGCGCCCTCTTGTGGTGAAAAAAATCTTACATATTGTGCCTTTAAGGATTTTTAAGATATTTGTAATGGAAAACAAGACCAACATTTTTTGTAGTCTGCATGTAAAACAGTGGCTGCCATCCACCATATTGGAAATGTCAAAGCCGGTTTGTGACCATTTGAGAGCAGGTTGACTGGGCGCTAAAAACATTAAGAAGTACCATAGTGAAAACCTGTAATATTGAGTTAATACATATAAAACACAAACCAACACATTCTCACCTGTGAAGGGTTATACAATTTCTTTGGAAATTTAATTTTAGGCGGTTTCATAACTAGAAGCTGCGTAAATTAATGTTGTGGCATAATTGATTTTTGATGTGAGTGGCGCTACGCTGACCATTTCAAGATGGCGTATACATATTTATGTTCCTGCCCACTGATAGTGTGTTGCAAACATGTCTTGGCTGGCTTTGATCAGCAGAATGAGTTGGTCATTTACTAGTGATATTTCTTGTACCCTATTTAGGAAACTTCAGGTGTACTCGTTGTAAAAAAACTTGCTACTGTTCTGTAGCTTGTCAGAGTCAGGATTGGAAAGCTCATCGACATGTCTGCAAACCTAGCATCCCAGAAGCTACCAGGTACTAGATTTTCTCTGTATATCAGTGTTATTTGCGAATTGGTTTGGAAGCACAATGTGAAAATCTCCTTTTTTCAATTATTTAATTTTTTTTAGTGAGAAAATGAAGGAATCCACAGCTATGCCATCTGGAAATGGACTTGGTTGCCTTCAAGCTAAGGTACTCATAGTTGTAATGGGTACTTGCACTTGCAGTAGTTAGTTATTCCATCTAATTCCTTGAGAAAATTCTTCATTTACAGGAGATCTGTGTTGACCTAAAGCCAAAGGGAATGTATCGACGTGATTTACGGAAGAACAATGTTTCCAAAGGAGCTGAGATACAGGTACTTTTCATTAGGCCTATATTGCTTTATTCTCTATAGACTCTCTGCCTCACAGAGCATTTTTTTTTTCAGGGTACAGTGATTGACCTCAGGAACCCTGGGATGTTCTCCATCCACCTACAGTCAATCGAGATGATGGAGTCCCTGAAAAACATCACTGCAGAGCTCCAGAAGGCCTATAGCACTTCATTTGCTCCTGAATACAAGCCTGAAATTGGGGAGCTCTGTGCTGTTAAATTTTCACTTGATCGGGTGAGGCAAATAATTACATTTTAATTAAATTCGTCAGAGAACCAGAGTGATTAGAATTTCTGTGAAATATGCATCAATGTCTTAAATCAGTGCAGTGCGTAACTGGTCAAGTTTGTTTCATCTTAAAGCGTTGACTAGTGAGTGTTGTTGTGCTCAGTTTGGTCTTTTTCATGCTGATTTAGAACTGGTATCGAGCTGAGGTTCAGTCAGTTGATGTGGTCCACAAAACTGCTAGTGTATTTTACATCGACTTTGGGAATGAGGAGAATGTTACACTTGACAACATAAGGCCTCTCTCTGACCATATCGATGCTGCACCACCATTTGTGAGTTACATCTCCATTACATAATATATTATTATTAATTCCATAATATTTTAGTATTATTGTTGATTCCATATATTTATGAATGGGAGTGTATATGGATATTATATATTGGGGCTGGGAGAAAAAATTGATTCAGCTAACTATTGCGATTTATTTTGTTTACGATTTTAAAATAGATTTTTTTTTATTCCAGAATCATTATTAATTCAAATTAAATAGCTTTTTTTTTTATCCTTGCTTATAGATGTTTACCGAAATTAGCCACTTTTGTTCCAACAGAGGATGAAATGTGTCGTTATCTATGAGTGTAGTGTTGTAATGTTCCAAGTAAAAGGATGCGTGAAAGCTACGTGCAGTGTTGGGAAAGTTCACTTTCTACATGAAGTAGTTCAAAGTTCAGTTCACAAATTTTAAAATGAACTAGTTCAGTTCACACTTCACAATTTTGAACTAAGTTCACGGTTCCAAAAAATGAACTAGTCCATAGTTATTTTTTTCCATATGTTGCTGCGAGCTTTTTTTTTAAAATTATTGCCACAACCCATATACAACCACAGACAGCAATTATTTTATCGGCGGGCAAAGTTTGCACAGAAATGTACGATTTTTCCCATCCTCGCCGACCTTGTCTTAAAACTGATCATACGATACGACGCATCCTTGATGCTTTGTCGACTACATGCTGCTTTATGTTTTGATGACGCATGTGGCGGCCGCATTGCGACGCTGGTGGCTTGTGTTGCCAGATTGGGTGTTTTTTTCGCTACAAATTAAGGCCTGTTTACGTGTGTTTTAGCCGGGTTTTCGCCTGGAAGGCTCTATAGAAATCTGGCACCCTATTGAACGAAGTTAAACTGAGAGAGCGTGCGTTCACAGACACCAGAATGAACGAGTTCACAATAACGTTCATCAGGCAGTAATACAGTACGTTCAGTTCACGTTCGCCCAAAATATGAACGAGTTCATGAACTATCGTTCAATGAACGCGTTCAGGCACAACACTGGCTACGTGAGACTGAATGTGCTGAAAAGCCCTCGCGCTACTTGTTTGCCGAGAGATAAGTCTTATTGGATAAGACAATAGAGCTGCACGATTCATCTTTAAAAGACTGATCTCGATTCAAACACCCATGCTATCTTCCAATTCGTCTATATTAAACCTTTGACAAAATCATATCGCAACATTCAAATCTGTGTTGCTGACCAAAGCATTAAAAAAAAAAAAGTTTGGTTCCGGTTTGTTGCCAGTTGAGGTCATGGGTCGGTAGGGATTTTTTTATTTTTTTTTTCAGTGGCAGCAACGGATAGGTAGGAAATTATTCATGGCTCGACCTTAAGCCTTTTCATGTGCTTGCCCTCCGAACAAGTAAATCTGTCATTCACATCAAAAAAGTTGATTTTTTTTTATTTTATTTATTTATTCTGAAGCAATATTCTCATCAGTGTTCAATCAGCTTTGCTATTTAAATTGGCATATTGTAATATCTGCACCTTTGAAGGGCATCCCCTCCCTCAATCTTATTAAATGCCCTATAGTGTCGCCTTATTCTAAATAATTGAATTTATTGATCAAATTTAGGAATTTAAAATGAAAGATGAAGCATACTGTTACCCTAGGTAGGGCTGATCAAATTAAATAATTTACACTGAAAAATTACAATTGCATAAAATAATGTTATGAAATTGATTTAAATGTACAAATAAGAAACATTGGAAAGAAGTATACTAGGCTACTTATAAACATAACACTAAACTGCCAATAGGTGGCGGCAGGCGGCCGTATTAATGAGTGAGTCATTGATTCATTAATTCAAACGATTCGTTTAAACGGTTGATTCATTCAAGAATGAGACAGATGTTTATGAATGGGTCATTGAATCTTTGACTCAACCGATTCGGTCAAAATGCTGAATCATTCAGTAATGAAAACAGGATGAGTGTTCCTGTGAGATACGCATGGAGATGCGCCGTGGTTCTGCTGTGATTTTTGTTTGGAACTATTTTCGCTGCTGAAACAGAACAAAAACAGCCAATATTGCATCTAAAATGTAAGTGACTTAATTTTAACTGTTTATTGAACTGCTGTAGGAAATCAATGTCACATTTTCAATCGTAATGGTATTCAGGAAAAATAATTGAGGCTGTTTAACACATGTTAAAATATAGAAACTCCACATTTAGATTTTTTATAGGCAGTATGTTGTTAACTGAGTGTGTTGTGTGCTGCGCTCATGTGTGTAGATTTCTCCTCGAGAGGCTGCGCGAGCGTCAACAGCGCAACCTCACTGTCAGCAGGCTAATACATTTATTATCCACAATCGATCGCAACCTACAATAAATCTAATAAAATCAGAATCATTCTCTCGGTTTAGTGATTCCCTAGTTATTTTTTTGTTTGTTATTGATGTTCTAATCAGGCTACTTGTCCGTTCGGGCAAGTAAAATTCTCTTTTACTTGTCCTTCAAAAATCCATTTGTCGCGGACAAGTTAGACGGGCTCTGGAGATGCGAAGCGTGGCAGGTTAGAGTGTTTTGGATTGCATAAAATAATAAAAGAAACGAACAAATACATGGCGAAAGAAGTGGTAGACAGCAGAAGAGGGTATTGGGATTTGGGATGATTTTTAATGAAACTTGGGAGGCGGATGGAGGTTACTCTTTAACGCATCAAGTGGTGTGTGCGTGCCTATGAATGCATGCATTTGTATGTGTGCGTATATGAATAAAAGTGCATTCAAAAAAAAAGAAAGAAAAAAAGACTTGTATATGTATTATAGTTCAGTTTGACGAACGATGTGTGAACGACAATGTAGCTGCCTCGTTTGTTTTGCTGGAGGACAACAGGCATCTTGCATCGCGTGCTATAAAAATACGGTGCTGTACAAAAACGTAAATTATAGTTCGCCTCAAAGTTTTTTATTTGAGTATTTATTAAATTTTTATTATTTCTTCCCCAAGCTCATAAAATAAATTTGGGTCGCACATAAATTGACAGGGTCGGTCGGAAACCGGAACCAAACAAATTTTTTTTAATGCCCTAGAGAGAGTTGTTATGAAACCGCTTAACCAACAGTCTTTTCAACCTCATAGTATCACGCGACTGTTAATTTAATTGATTGAATCATTTGTTCAAGAGAATGTAGTACTGTATGATGCTTCTGAAATAAAACTCAAAGATGTGATGAATTGTTTTTGTAAATTATGACTCATCTTATACATCATGTACAGTCTGTATAAGTGCATTTAGCTTTTCCCCACTGTCTAGTGCAAAAAAACAAAAAAAAAATTCGCAATGCATTGTAATATCGAAATCGCAATACTTCTAGAATCGCAATTCTTAATTTCGTATACATTAAGGCTGTGTTGAGAAAATCGATTCACCAATTCTGAATCGATTTTCATATTAATTTCTAAAGATCGATCCGTAACTCAGAGGATCGATTTAATAATAGCCTTACATTTTCCCCGTGAAGTTTAACTTGCCGCGACTGGAGATCCCTGTATGCGCATTGAAAGGCTTTCACTCAGAGCGCACATTGTTACGACAACAGGCTTTGAGTTAGTCATTAAACCGTTCATTCAACGAACACGTTCAAAAAAGCTGATTCATTAAAAGAGATGTAATGAAACAAGGTGTTAATTATTTTTAACTTTGAGTTCCACTTTTCAAGGCTCAGCTGAGCAGCAATGCGTCGCATGGGTATACTTCACTTATTAGAGACCAATAGCCAATGGCATTGATTCAATGCGTGACTCGCTGATTTTATTTCCCCGCGGCTTCCTCGCGCTGTGGAATGCTGACCAGCGCTGCTGCTGACGCGCATTTATGGTAAATACCCGTGACGTGAACGTTAAAAGGATGATCCGACAAATGTCGCTTTCCTTTGACACGGCAACCTTTTTCACGAATACATATGACTTCAAAGACAGACGCAGGTAATCGCACGCGGTCTGCCGATCTCTCTCATTCACTGTCTGTGCGAAGCCTCTGTAGGCTACACATCACCACGATAAACAGTCTTGTTTGTTATCATTATGAACTTGTTTAACATTCAATACACATGCATGAAGTTCAAAACAAGAAGGGTATAGCCTTATAAAAAAACGTGAATATCGCGGTTGCTGCGGTTACTTGCAATCCTCTGCGGTTGACTTGTCAGTAGCGCGTTACTACAAGATTGCGGTAATCCCGACAGCCCTAGTACTGCTGCTGATATACCTCTGCGTCCTCTGTCGTCTACACCAGTGCAAGTTTGTGAAAGCAGTTGTATATCAACACTCTGGAAGGGGGATTGTTCTTTACAACCATCAATACTCCATTAATTTGCAGTTGAATGTCTATAATAATAGTATCAATATGTTGCATAACTACAGTCCTGTAATTCAGGTAACAGCTGGAGAAAAAAAATGCTTTTTTCAAAAACACTCGAAGATCGGAACAGATCGAATTGAATAATGTTAATCGATTCAAGATCTTGAGAATCGGAATCGAATCGATTCTTGAAATTTGAATCGAAACCCAGCCCTAGTATACATTTCGTATAGGCACCCAAGTATCATGATCGTATAGATGTTTCGTCCCAGCCCTATTATATATACATATACTGTACATATATATTGTAACTGCCAAATAAAATATATATTTAAATGTTTGCAATATTCCTGATGTTTGATATCTCTGTTAAGCCCCAGTGAAAATTATACTGCTCAGCTCTTGTTAAATTACTTATGGTTCCAGCAGTAGTCATTATCTCATGCTTTTTCCAAAGCTGCTTTGTTGTTTTCACAGGCTTTGCAGTGTTGTGTTGCTGGGGTAAAGCCTGTGACAGGAAGTTGGACAGGCGAATGCACTATTGCTGTTAGGCAGATAATTACTGGAAAGAGCCTCACTTTCACAGTGTTGGACATCATGAATGATGGAGCTCTGCTTGCTGTAGATGTTCCTCTTAGCACACTTGGTAGGGCATACGTGGTTCTTTGGAGAGCTTTATTTGAAATGAGCAAGATGTTCAACAAACAAGATATCATTTTTTTTTTGTTACAGGTAAATGCATGAGCACTTTTCTGATAGACCAGGGCTATGGTATAAAGGAGGATGTTGCTGTCAAACCACAGACTGAACACAACATCAGTGAGTTGCTGACTCATCTGTTTTTTTGTTTTTTTTTCATCTTCTATAAATGATTCACTCAATTTTCATGTTATTTTTTTCATCCTGATCTAATCGTATCTTTTCTTTAGATTCATTGCTGAAGGCATCGTTTGAAAATTTCAAGCGCTTGTCTGGAGGAAAGAATGAGAACTCTGAAGCCAGGCCTCCAGAGCCGTTGACTCAAGGAGTGGGTGACGCATTCACTGCAGTGGTCACCCACATCCAGTCTCCCTCAGAGATCCTCTGCCAGAAGCTTGAAAATGCCAGTGAGCTTTCTGCAACTTGATTTAAAACACAATTTTACCTCAATTAAACATTTTTTATTTCATGGTATTTTTATTACATGACCATTGGTGCATACACTACTGTTCAAGGTGGTTTATGTTCACCAAAACTGCATTTATTTGATCAAAAACACAGTAAAACAGTAATATTGTTAAATATTACTACAATTTAAAATCTTTTTTTTTTTTTTTTTTTTTTACTAGGATCTTCAGTGTCACATAATCCTTCGAAAAGAATTTTAATATGTTTATTTGGTGCTCAAGAAACATTTCATATTACAGTATCAAAAACGATTGTGGTACTTAATATTTTTGTTGAAACTTCAGGATTTGAATAGTTTGAGTTTGGTGAATGTCACTTTTGGTCAATTTAATGCATCCTTGGGGAAAACTCTTAATGATCCCAAACTCTTGAATGGTAGTGTACTAGCATCCTCTGTTGTAAATTTCTTCCTTTTTATAAATATACTGCACTTTCAGTATGTTGATCGTATGATGTAATCTTCATGTATTCAGGTATAATCCAGCAGTTGCAGGTGAATTTAAGGGAGCACTGCTCAAACACTCTAGCCAATGAGATATTCAGACCTGCGCCAGGAACTGTCTGCTGCTCACTGTTCTCTGGTTAGACCTGTGTTTTTTTCTTCTTTACCTTTTGATTCATGTAAAAATGTGTAAAGTGCACCTTCCCATCGGTGAATGGGACTGGGGGAGGTTGAACTAAAAATGCACTTTAAAAGTGATATCTTCTGACACCATCTCCTCGTGCATTACAGAGGACAACCAGTGGTATAGAGCTAAAGTTCTGGCATATTCCTCTGAGGATCGCGTGTGTGTCGGATACATAGACTTTGGAAACTCTGAGGTAGTTGAGTTAACTCGCCTACGACCAATCAACAAGGATCTGTTGGCTTTAGCAACACAAGCAATCCCCTGTTCTCTGGCAGGTATAGTGCAATGATTCATTCACTGAGTATCTGTAATTGGCTCAGCATATATTGATTTGCATGCATGACACTGTCAGATATTTTCAGCAAGATTGATTGCTTGGTTAACATGTTCATATTGCTCCAGGTATAAAGTCTCCAACAGACGACTGGTCAGAGGAGGCCATTTTGATGGTGAAACGTCTGGCCTGCAACCGCTTCATTCGGGTTGAGATTCTGGGTAAGAAGGACGGTAGGGCTCTGGTGTCCATGATCGATGAGACTAGTGACCCTCAGACCAATGTCGCTGAGTTGTTGGTTAGCATGGGTTATGCTGCCATTGAAAGTTTGGAGGCCGAGAAGAATGAACCAGCTCAGGCATCCTTCCCTGAAATGCCATGTAAGTACAGAACCTTATTTAATTTGAGCCATTTCTGATCTTTTTCAAAAGGATAATGTAGATCAATATCTTTTAATTTTACGCTAGCCCTCAGTCTGCCTGTTGAGAAAATGGAGTGGACTTGTGCTGAACTTCCCTTCAATGGCCAAAAGGTGGAGCTGGTGATTAGTACTTTGAAGAGCCTGGACGAATTCTACTGTTACAACTACAGTAGCGGTGCGACTGTCCATCAGTGTTGTTCTTTCTACACTGTGTGAATCATCATGTTTGTAATTATTTTATTTCTGTTTGGCAGATTCACACATCCTGACGGCGCTGTCCTATGAGCTCAAAAGGCATTGTGAATTGGGCAGAGATCCCTTTACACCAACTGTGGGAGAACCATGTTGTGCTCTCTTCACAGGTGATACTGACTCGTCCAAACAAACACCATGTTTACAGTAACACACTTATTAAAGTAAACAGAATTTTTTTTTTTTTATATATAGTTTTTTTTTTCATATTCAAACAATTTTATTTACAAGAAGTTGAGTTTTATTTACAGAGTTGACAACTGACATTTAAGATGCTAGATATACACTACTGTTAAAAAGTTTGGTGTCGATATGATTGTTTTAATGGTTTGGAATTGTAAAGTATTAGGGGTGTGACGAGACGCTTATCTCACGAGACGAGACGAGACACGAGATTGGGTTCACGAGAACGAGACGAGACGAGATTTTTGCACAATTTTTCAGAAATCCTCAATGACAAAATTCATGACTGGAAAAATAGTATGCAGGTGCATTTTTCAATGTTTTAACTTATAATCTTCTAATGCATGTCATTTCAGGTCTACTTTATGAGTATGAATTATCAAATGCATTGAAAGAAAACAATATTCAAGCACTGTAAAAGGTTTTTATTGACTGGCTTTTCTCCTGTATAATTTCACATTAGTCTCTTCAGACCTTACTGTACATTTAAGAGCTTTCAGAACTTCTGATTGAGGCTGTGTGTGACCTCCTAACTGAACTCCTTTACATACATTTAACAGAGAAATAAAAACAGTATAAATAACAAAAATAAATAACTGTTTTCTCTTAGTCTTATTAAGTGCAAACAATAAGTGCGAGTGCAACCATAAGCACACAGACTCTTTATAATTGTTGTGAAATTGCGGTTTTATTTTGGACCGGCAGTTATAGGGTTAATGCGGTGAGTTCGGAAAAGGCCGAGAGAAACGAGGCTGTTTGTCTCTACAGTTGTTCTTGCGTTCCGATTATAAGTTCAGAAACGGAGCCTCCCTTGTCTGTTGTCCTTTGTACGTTACAGTGCTCTCTCAATATTCGCAGTGCCAACAGAGACCAGAGCCGCAAATAAACAGTCCAGAGATGGGTATTGGGAGACGGATTATTTTATGTATGCAGCCTAATTTGTGCGCAATGCACATCAGGGAGCTTGAGTTTTACTTTCACTTACAAATTCGTGACCGCGCGTATAGGGAGCAGCGGTGCTGAGCGCGCATTCTAAATGATAAGACATTTACCAGACGTTTAGTCTGTTGCGCAACGAATCCTCCGCCATCCTCACGCGATCAGTGAACTGTGATTCGTGCTGCACTGATTGCAACGGCAACTCGTGCTGGATGAGCAGAGCAGACTTTTGCATTAGTTTATAATGGTTTTTATTTTTTTATAAAAACAACAAAACGATAGTTTAGGCGAATGTGAGTGTAGCGGTGGAATATTCATGGGGTTTATCGCGAGACAGCTTTTTCACTCGACGAGAAATCTCGTCATATTTAGTCTCGCGAGATCTCGTGGCACGAGATCTCGTCACACCCCTATAAAGTATCATTTGCTTGCCAAGCCTGCATTTATCAAAATACATTAAAAACTAAAATATTGTGAAATATAACCATTTATTTTAATATATTTTTAAAATGCAATTTATTCATGTGATTCCTTCAGTATCACATGATCCACCAGAAATCAATCTAATATGCTGATTTGGTGCTCAAGAAACATTTCAATGTTAAAAACAGCTGATGTATTTTTTTCAGGGTTCTTTGATTAATGGAAAGTTAAGGGGGTCATTGGGTGCCCATTTTGGTATAATTCTTTAGGGTCTTCGTGTAAAGTTTGTAACATACTTTGGTTAAAATTCCTTGGTTGTGTAAACCAACACCCTTTTACTTCCTCAAAAACAGCTTTTTTTTTTTTTTTTTCAAAAACAGCTCATTTTCCGTTTCGTTGCATGTCTCTTTAAATGATAATGAGCAACTTTTAAATGGTAATGTACAGATACAATTTTCAATGTTTTTGCTTCCTGTTTGCAGGAGATGGCCAGTGGTACAGAGCCATGGTATTAGAAGTGTGTGGAGAGGGTAAGGCTAGAGTTTATTTTGTGGACTATGGGAACTTCTGTGAGGTGGAGGCAGCACATCTGAAGGCCATCACCCAGAGTCTGCTCAAGCTGCCTTTCCAAGCAATCCGCTGCTGGCTTGCAGGTATTTTTTTCTTTGGGGTTTGTGTGTAGATATAAATTCTAAATTTGTTTAGTTGTAAGTGCATTGTACATATAGCCAACAATCGTAAGTGCATTGTACATATAGCCAACAATCACTGTGTGCAGGAGTCGAACCAGTGGAGGGTCAGTGGAGTACAGAGGCAATGCACAAGTTTCAGGCTCTTTGTGCCAGTCAGCCATTGAGTAGCAGAGTGCTGTCCATTACTGAGAAGGGTTATGGGATTGAGCTAGAGAGCGCTGGTCAAAACATTTCTGCTGTGCTAATTTCTGAGCACCTGGCTAGACCTTGTGGACAGGTGAAACAGCCTCCACTGCAGCCAACTAAACCCTTCAATCAGATTGAGGATCTGCCCACTCTAAAACCCATTGATCAGAATCCACCTGTTGAAGAGCCTTTGAAACTGAACAACAATGAAGCTGCCAATGCCCCAGAAGTTTCAACCGCATTAAGTAAGTTAGCATAACTGATTTTAACCTTTTAAATATGGCTTTATTTTTATTTTTTTATTGCTAGTACTAGTAATATGCAGGTCACTTTTTTATTATTGTTCTTGTGCATGATTAAATAATGTTCACTGTCATTTAGGTGACTCTTTTCCTTTGAATTGGAAGACGTTGGAGCTGCCTTGCAGTGACACATTCCAACCGAGGGTGGCAGCAGTGATCAGCCCAAGTCTCTTTTACATAATGAATCCTGGACAAGGTGTGCACTCATAGTGTAGCATTTAAAGCATAAAGTCTAGCTAGAGCAACTATTATTATGGTTATATTATTATAAATGGTTGTACCATTAGAATGATGCTTTACGTTAAGCTGAATCTGTGTTTCTCCTAGTGAATGTAGAGGGTCTGAAGGCCATTATGACTGATGTTGCGAAGTACTGCAGCAAACAGCCAATCCCCAATCAGTGCCACCCTTTACCAGGAGCTGCCTGCTGCGCACAGTTCTCAGGTCAGTTTGACCTTCACCCCCGTGGGATAAATAGATGGAATCACATGTGCAGTGTTAAACTATATGGTGAATTTTTGCAAATAAGCAGCACTATTATTTTATAATATACACTACCTTTCAAAAGTTTGGGGTATTTTTTTTTAAAGTTTTATTTAGCAAGGATTCTATTTCAAATAAATGTTCTTTTAAACTTAAAAATGTTTTTCAAAACCTCACATGTCATAATGTTATTTTTATGAGAGAGTTGTTGCTGTGATGTGTTTTTATGAGTTTCATGATGTTGTCATGTGGTTGAGCTACTGATATCCCCTTGATGTGTTCTTAAATCAGTCAAATTGAACTCCTTTGTTCAGGTGACAAAAACTGGTACAGAGCTGTTGTGTTGGAGGTGACAACCAAGCATGCACATGTAATTTACGCCGATTATGGGAACATGGAGACAGTCCCTGTCTCCAGTATCCTTCCTATCACCAAAGAACTTCTCCAGCATCCATTTCAGATCGTCAGGTGTGGACTGGCAGGTAAGACTTTCACTTGTCTGAATATGCACAAATCATTGCTGATGTTAAAACCCTTGTAAGGCTGGAAGTGTGTGATGCAACCAGATTTCATAATCAGTTAGGATTTAAAAACAATGAGATTTGAGAGAAGAACATTTGTAAAGATTCTCCAACATGCACAATCGTGGCACATCACACACTTCAAGATGTTAAGATTATCTTGTTTTTTCACAATAGCCAATGAGAGACAAGTCTACAAGGAGACTGGGAATGAAAGTACTGATGTAATCATAGTCATAATCCTGGTTTAAAATCCTATTTAAATGTTTATCATCGGGACGACCCCAATGTGTCTGCTAATAGATTGAGAGGTTTAAGATTAGATCTGAAAATGTCTCAACATACACCTTACCGGGTAATCTGTGCCAAATATCAGAAGTCGGGGATGCTCATTTCGGTTAATTTTCCCGACCGACAGCCGCCGCTCGTTATCTGAGTATTAACCGTTAACTGGTAAGATTATAACATTGAATTAGGATTTAAATAAAAATAAAATTAACGAGTGTCTGTGACCCGTTAAAAATACAAAAAAAGTCACGGGTTTATTTTAAAGGGGTGGTTCAGGATTTGACATCAGACCTAATTTCCAAGTTGGCCTGGGTGTTATTTATCAGTGGAGACAGTTTTCAAAAAATGGGTAGTTTGATTTCTAACATTATTCTCTCAACAGACATTTACATCAATAGTCTGGTGTTATAATTTATTTGCTTTTGGTGTACTGTGGAGTGGGTAAAACTGTTTTTAATGGCAGGCTAGCAGTTACCGTTGACTCGCGCTAGCCTAGCACCGGTGAACTATGCAACTGGAAGGACTGGATGAGAATTTTTAAAAACTGTCTCCACTGATAACACCCAGGCTAACTTGGAAATGAGGTCCGATGTCCAAAATCCTGAACCCCCCTTTAACGTGCAAACAGCAGCATACAGAATATACAAAATACAGAACAGATCAACAACAGAACCTGGATTCACATAAAATTCATGCACCTGCAGCATTTCTGACAGTGACAACAGAGAAAAACAGAATAAAATAATATAAATAAAAAATCATAAAATAGGCCTACACTAAATATTTAGTTAACTTAATTTCCAAATTAAGATGACAAAAATAATACACTGAATCCCTTTGAAGCTTTGAAAAACCGGCACATTTTTTTCCCGTCAGACTAAGTTTTTCGTGAAATAAAAATAGCAGGCCTACCTCAATCCACACCTTGTCTAGTTTTTATTTAAAAAAAAAGTAACATGTCTACATGATGCGGGGTTATTCTAGAGCGCAGCCTGTTGACAGTTAGACCCGCGGCAGAAAACGCCCTCTCCAATGACACAGATGTCCCGGGAAATACAGAGATAACGTCTCGCTAGAGTGGCCAGCTTCGGGAAGCGACTTTCATTTGCTTGTGGATGTTTGCTTCGCAAGTGATATTGCATTGTATACTTGTACTACTGCTGTATTTTAATACCACGTAGCATATTTTGCAAGTAACTTCGTCGCCCTTTCTGTCGAAATGGTCCCACACAGTACTTTTCGCTATCTTCATTTTGCTTGCTCAGCGAAATATGTCTGTACGTGTGGTTGCGTATGTCTGTACGTGTGGTTGCGCATGTCGACGCGCCCCGTGAGTTAACAAATATAGGCTATATAGTATTTTTTTAACCATGCAGCAAAAAAAAAAAAGCTTAAATAAAAAATCAAACAAAAAAAAACTTAACTTTTAATTAATCAGTATTAATCGGTCAAAATGTTTACTTTCGGTTAACGGTTAAACGGTCAATATGAGCATCCCTAGAACAGACCAAGGTCCTGGACACTTTTTCTCTCTAATTGATGGGAGGGGTAAATCGGGGATAAATTGGCCTAAAACTTTTGATGAGCCATGATTGTGTGGGTTTTTTTTTTTTCACAGGTAAAGAGCACTTTCCTACAGTGTGGCCCACTGAAGTTTTGGAACTCTTTGGGATTCAGTTGAGTGGGGGCGTCCTGGCAAATCTGCAGGGCTTTGATGGGACCTCCAACCTGCTGACCCTTACCCTGCAGTCAGGTCAAGCTGACAGAGATATTAATTCCATCATCTTTGGAGCTCTGCAGAAAGGACAGAGCAAGGCTAACTCAAAGCTGCCTTCCATTGTCAATGAGGAGAAAAAGGATCTAGATAAGAGTCAGACACAACCTGTCAGCTCAAACAAGGCTGCAGATAAAACTCAATCTGCAGGTATAGAGAAACATGACCTGAAAGATCAAGCCCCGCCTTTAAGTACCAGCTACAGGCTTGAGGAACCAGGTGAGGAACATTGAGCAGAATTCATGTTGGCAAGACTAAGTATTAATGTAGGTGTTTACTGGGCTTGCGCAATAATTGGTCCAGGATGTGTAGCAATGAAATTCTGGTGCACAGGTGCTGTTCCACCTGGTGTTCTCAGCTGTAACTCAAAGGTGTTATTTAAAAGGAGCCTTGTCATCATATCCAGTGAAACAGTTGTCAAACATTTATGTCTAATTTCAGAAAACATGCCCAAGACTACGGCTGCAGTGGAATGTACTGAGCCACAAGACATTACAAGCTCAAAGGGCAGCAGTGGTGGGTATTGGCGTTTCTGAGACAGATGACTTGCAAAGGATTGTAAAAATGTTGACATTTGTAATCACTAATGCCAATTCACACTGCACTGATAGATTCTGAGACACTTTGTTGGGTTTTGTCAGATCAGTGCGTTACCTGTCGGCCTCTGGTGTTGGTTGGCACCTGTTTGTCGTGTCGTGGAATGTCTGAGTAGTGACACACAGTACTGTAATTCTGGTGATTTATCCATGTTGGTCGTGTCCGTCAGTGCATTGTGAATTAGCCTCGACAGTCAGATATTGAGTAGTTTAGCCTAGTGCACGAACAGCTGCTGATTTCTGTTTAAGGGGCAACCCTTGGTCTTATGAGCTTTAAAATATAAATGTACTAATTAACTAAATTAAATTTTTTTTTTTGAATTTTGTCTTTTCTTTCTAGCTCCCCAATCATGCTGTTGTCTTGAGCTGAAGCAAAAGGTTCGGAAAGCTGCAAACACAAGTCATGATTTTTTTTTTTTTTTTTTTTTTAGAAAGCTTAAAAAAAAAATAGTTTTACCATACATATGGCTCATTCTATGGATTTATTTAATTATTTTTCCCTCTTCAGGTTGACCATATTGAGAAATTGATTCTGCTCCTCGTCAAACAAGTTGGTGGAACCAAATAGTGACTCAAGATCTTCATTGTCAAGTAGCTTTTATCTTTAGAGAAGTGTGAATATATTTTATTTTTGTTTTATTGAACGAATATTGTTGCTATTGTTTTATTATAGCCTATATAATGTTTGTGATTTTATTTCTTGAGCCAAGAGAGAACGTAACTATTAATCGTGAATAATGCAGCATTGCCATTCAGTTTTCCAGTTCCACATTGTCAGTTTTTTGTTTTTCTATGGCCAGTTTTGTTCCTTATGTGTGCCAGTTTGAATTTTGAATAAAAAAGTACTTAAGTTTGTTTGGAGCGATTTGTTTTTTTTTCATTAGAGTACCAACTGTGTTTTCAGTTAGTTATGCAAGCCTTTTAAGTGGGTTCATCTGTGTAACAACTTTCACACAAAGATTTACTGTCATTTTCACATCTAAACTAGTATGACTGACTTTTTTTCTGTGGCACAAAAGATGTTAACGAGACAGAGCCTCAGTCACCATTCACTTCACTGTATTGAGAAATGCTTTGTAGGGGAATGAAAGTCTCATGTCACTTACAAGAAAGATGTATCGGTTTGAAACTTGAATTTTCATTGTGGGATGAACAATTCCTTACTTAATCCTAATTTACTCAATTCGAGGCATATGATAAAGGTAACACTTTTTAATAACTTTGTCTCGAGGGTATTTTGGTCTTGGCTTGATAAGAGGTCTGTAGAGTAATTTGAATTGAGCATGAAGTCAGTACGGAAGTAGAAGAGCAGAGCACCCTCTCCTGTTCAACACAACCTGCGCACTAGAGAAACTGACACTTATTCAGTACCTACGGGGAGAACAGGACGCAGAGGTGAGGCTCATTGTGAATAGGAACTGTCAAGAGTTTTTAACTGGGCTAATTTTAAATAGAAATGTTTGAAGATGTCGTTTAGCTGAAGTTTTACGAAACTAAACTCAAAATGGTTGAGGCAGCGGTGCTAGAAATTGAACCGGTTAGAGTAATTTCAAGGTCTTGCACTGTCTCACGGCGTATTACTGTACTGTATTTTCATGGATCGTGTCATTAAAATTGTTTAACATCGTAATTTTGTTACATGCTTGGAAAATATATCGAAAAATTGTTGGCTTAATTGCATTAAATCGCCCTCGTTACCAAAATCAAAACATCTAGAAAATGTTACAAATAAATTTTTCTTCTCGGAAACAACATTGTGCGGAATGGAATGAATGACATGTTTTAAATATTTTTTGGGGAAAGTGAACTCGTACATTTTGCAGAATACAAAAAGCGCATGCTTATTAGATTTACACTAACTTCGGCGTTAAAGAATGTAATAGGCACATTTTATCTAAATTACGTTCAATAAGCAAATACTAAATATATAAAAGAGGGATAATGCAAATACCTGCAATTCTCTGTTGCGGCTGCATGCGTGACGTGCACAGGAGGATATACTAGTTACATATAACAACAAACAGAATTGATATAATTCTAAATGTCTTAAAGTGAATTTTGCTCATGTTTTCCAATCAAAATGGATTGTCACAAATGAGTTAATAAGTGAGCCTTAAATAAGGACCTTATTATCAGGCATTTGAATGCTCTGTCCTTTCATCCTCAGCCTCTCTTCTCATTTACTGTCACTCCTCTGATTATAGGAGAGTCCAGTGCACTGAGCTCAAGTCATTTCCTCCCAGTGGGATCAAGCCAAACCTGTCCTGTGTCTCGTCCATTATAAGCGTAAGCTCTGCAGTTAAATACATATATTTAGTATGTTTAACGCTGATGTAGTTGCCAACATTTATTTATTTAAAGTTTTATTTGTATAGGGACAGATACAATAAACATAGATAAAACTGACAACAGCCATCCAATGCGTGATTCATAGTGCTTGTAGCTAAAGCTAATTTGCTACACCCTTGAAGGACTTTTATGAATTACAGTTACAACAGCAAACAATGAGAGGAGGAGGGGGAGGGGGAGGGGGAGGAAGAAAATTAAACATTAGTACAAATTTGTTGCTGAATTAACCAAGACTTAGTGGCTTTTTAAAAAAAATATTAAACCTTGCAGCAGATTTGAAATAAAAGGGTAACTGAGAGGACAATCTGAGCAAAATATGTTTTACAAAATTAAATTTTACAATTTGATTTGCTATGCTAACAGTTAGTTAGGCCAGGAATGTTTAAACTGGAAAAAAGTGGAACAGTTTAGAGAAAATGTAAAAAAAGAAAAAAAGATCTAAATAAAATATAAATGCAAATGTATTAAAATAAAAATAATTTAAATAAAAGAAAATTATTGCTGGCTTTTGTATTTTAGCATGGAGGTCCCTCGGGTGAGGATGATCATATTTTGGGGGTTTGTGCATCTAAAAGATCAGGTTAGGAATTGTTCATAGATAAAGTAGGAAATAATTAAAGTGAAAGCTTAGACCAGTGAGGAATGTGTGCAATTGGGAATAAAGAGGAATTGGGAGAGCAGAGCCAGTGCTGGGTTGATCTGGCCCTATACGGCTCCACTTGTTACACAGACCGAGACGGGTTGTTAGTCAAGGTTATCGTATGGCAGGATTGTGAGGTGCTCTTAGTATCCAGATGATTTTCATCCTCAAAGAAGGTTTTCTGAAATGGCACCTGAACAAGTGCTGTCTTCTTCCTGCTGTTCATTCATGAGTAGGAAATGCACCTTATCAGGGTAAGATTTTTATCAGATTCCCTTCAACAACTGTGGTCCGAAAGTTTCTGAAGTCTCAGAAAGGGTGCTGTGTGGCTGGATTGTCCAAAAGTCTTTCTCTCAGTTTGCTGGATTTGATTCTTTACAGAATAGATTCTATCTTTAAGAATGTCAGGTGGCATCCCACGTTTCCTCTCAAGTGGTGCTCTGTGGGTATCTTCAGAAGTCCAATCGTGAGAGACGATCAAAGAGTGACTTCACGGGTCCAAACTGCCTCAATAGTCACTTCATTTCATTCCAAAACTGATAACCACTCTGCCTTTAAACTGCTCTTAACACCTGGAACCTGACCAATCAGATACAACAGTGCAGACATAACACACACACACACACACACACACACACACACACACAAACATTTTGCTTGTGCTCTTTAAATGTCTCAAACACATTTGAAGAAAGATTCTACTGAATGCACACCAGTATGATTGTCATCTTGGACGTAGATCTGACTACCGGTATATAGACTTGAAATATACTGTTATCTGATTTTTTTTCTCAACCACAAAGACTACGTTTGGGAGGGTTTGTAAAATGGAATTAGCTGTAATATGTGTGAGGGTAGGTGTCTTTAAGTGTGTGTTATGGATGTCCTAAAAAACGTACAAATGTAGTCTGTATCATTCAAACGATTTTTAAATGTTTTTGTGAGAAGTTTCTTATGCTCACCAAGGCTGCATTTATTCGGTCAAAAATACAGTAAAACAGTAATCTTGTGAAATATTATTTAAAATAACCGTCTATTTGAATATGTTTTAAAATTTTCAGCATCGTTACTCCAGTCTTCAGTGTCACATGATCCTTCCGAAATCATTCTAATAATGCTGATCTGGTGCTCAAGAAACATTTATTATTATTCTGAATTTTGAATATAGTTGTGCAGTTTTTAATATTTTTTCAGGGTTCTTTTATTAATAGAAAGTTCAAAAGAACAGCATTAAATTGAAAAAAAAAAATCTTGTGTATTTTTATAGATGTCATTACTTTCACTTTTGACCAATTTAATGTGTCCTTGCTGAATAACAGTATTAAATGACTTCTTTTAAACAAAAAACAATGTCATCCTGTGGTTAATGCATAATGCATTTGGAAATAAGTAGCTAATTCTAGTAGTCTGAACATGAGCCAGTTCTTGTATTTCCCAGTGTTGGTTTTGGATGTGTTTTGGCTTTGATTGCAGAGCAGAACAGGTAGGCGTTGAGATTAAATCCAGTGACTCGTGGCGGTGAAGAATGATTCTCCTGTCTGGTGCAGCCAGCTGGCATTTGTCAACATGTTTAATTTAATAATAAAGATGGGCTCTTAAAGATGTGAACTTTGACCTTAAGCTCTGGGAATGTGGCACAGGAGTATTTTGTGGCTGCAGGGAGACTTCATCTGAGATGAACAGTATCATTCTGTTTTCTCCACACATCACTGGGCTGTCCCTCCTCTTTTCTCAAAACACAGACGGGTAAATGATTAGTCTGATGTGACGACAGTTTGACTGGCTTAGACTTGAGCTTGCCTGTGATCAGGGGGACTACTAGGAACATTGTTTGGGGCCCAGTAATGCCTCCTCATTGGGCTCAGGGGAGAGGTGGCCCACCCATATATATTTTACCATGGGTCCTTTGAATTGTAGTGCAGGGCTTGACTGCTGTCAGTCATTTTATGATGCATAAAGGTACAGACTCTCTTTGCAGACTTCATGCTACCCGAGTCCCTCTGCCATTAGTTGGTTGGGTTTGATCACAAACTAGCCCTCAGACAGCCTGGATCTTTCCCATCCCATGTTCCTAGCTTGTCCAACTAGTGCCCCTGAGGGTCAATAAAAATTGCTGTCCCACTAACCTCAAGCCCACCATCTCATGAGTGAAATTCCAAGATATCGTTCTCTCCCGATTTTGTTTTCCCAGATAGTCTCTCTCACTGCTGCTTTTTCTTTGTTAGAATTCTCAAAGCCTTTTTTTGGGTACAGTTACTCAGTAGTTGGCCTCTTCAAAGACTTCCTGCTAGACTTTTTAATCTTTTTATTCACATTTCAGGGCTGAATGCAAAATGTCCTCTAGAAGTCGGCTGCATCTCCTTCTCATGCTCCTGTTTGGCCAAGGTAAGAGAAAGTGGCGGAGCACTTTATTTTTAATTTTTTTTTAGAGATTTAAATATTGTTTGTTGATTTTAGATGCATATCTTTCATTGTGCTTTAGAAATGTGTTGTTGTTAGTAACTTAGTATCTGAAAAGAATAATTCATTATAGCCCTCAACAAGGAATTTCAGCCAGATGTTTATTTTCTCAACAAGTGCGTTAACTTTTACATCATTTGCCCTGCCAGCAAAAGCTTCAAGAGATCCAAATCTGTTCAAAATATTTACTTTACATAATTGTTATTCTTTATTGGCTGTCCTGCTGAGGCCTCCACAAAATTCCTCTATTTGTTGGAGTGTGGAGTTCTGGATTGAGATATCTTCCCGTGCTCCTGAAATATTTTCCCATTACGTTCCTGAACATATGCCATAAATCTGAGGAGGGATTTAAACTAGTCCTTCAGACCGCTCAAATCAGGCGATAAAATGTCTCTTGGTTCCACAGCCTGTCAGAAGGGATCACCGCAGGGTTTGAGGGGAGATTCACCGTGACCTAGTACAAGTTGACTTGTTCAGAGCCGTACGTCATTGATGCTGGTCGTCTATCATATGAAAATAACATCCCCTTTCCAGTATTACCAATCCTTTCTTCTTTAGATGTAAAAATGCATATATAGTACATATTCAAACAAAATCATTAAGCTTCATGGTTCATCACACCGCAGCTCAGATCATTTATTGAACCTGTCGCAGTGTAATGCATGCTTTGTAAAGAGGTTGTAATTAAAGTGTAGTTATCATGTATATAGTGTAGGTGTTAAAATTTACTTTGGCTACTATTTTCATAAAGTTTTTAATTTTATTTACAAAGGTTCTGAGGTATCAGTTTGCTCTTTTGGAATTCTTGTGAGAATTGCAGTGATTCAGAATGACACATATCGGTATTTATCTTCACCATCGGTGGAATTAAACCGTTAACATTCTGACGCCCCCCAGCCCCTCATCTACTCGGGGGGGGGGGGGGGGGGGGGGGGGGGGGTCCTGCAGGTTTCTTAGGCCGAGGTCTGTTTCCATGGCGAGGTGCTGAGAGCAGCCCTCCACATGATGGCATGAGTGTTAGGGGACAAAAGCACATGATTAAAGTGTGTGATTCTCAAGCGCACTCCACTCCACAGGAGCGTTACACAGGGTCTTCACTGCCCTGGGCTGTTCTCATGGCCCCTGCAACTCAATCATTGATTGTATGCATGAGAGAGCATGTCGCTCTGAACCCTGCTCACTCGAGCGGGAAACATGGGCTAGGACAGCCTGACCGTTCTCTTCACGTCCAGTGGGCGTTGCTGGAATGCCGATCGCTCTAAATTATTCCTCTCTGAAGGATGTTTTGGGAGTTCCATACGGAGCTGTGTCTTGGGGGCAGGGGTCAGATCAGCTATCTGGAGTCATGCTCGAATGACTCATTTGTGCAACCTGTTGTTGACTTTGACAGTGCCTGAGGGAGTACCTGGGTGAGTGTCACTAAATACATGTCTAAGTCACATTACACCTGAAATATTTTTTATGACCATTGAGATTTTTTGCATTATATTGTAGTTGCATTATGTTCAAGACAATAGAGTGGTGCAGGTATGACATCAGAAGCCCGAAGACTAATTCGCCAAGATTTTCCTATAATGTTTTTTTTCTTCAATTTATGAGTAAAATAAGGTCTGTGGAAAACATAACTTGATGATACTTTAATGTTTTGTTCTACAAAGTAAATTTCACACACCCGTACCGAAAACGCAAATTTCGAAGCAGTTATGTTTATTTTTGAAAACGTATGTTTCTAATAATAAGTAACTGGATAAGACAGTTGGGGTGTGAATGTGTGCAGTGTACATTGATGTATAAAAACTAATTTAAGTAATATATCATAATATTTTTCCCTGTTACAGTGATGGCACTTTTTTTTCCCCGTTAGATTTACAAGGTTTGGTGGTGGTGCTTAATTGTTTTAAAATAGATTTAACAATCCTAAAAATTGATCTTCTTTCTTTTGATTTTTGGGTGAAAAATTACCCTTTTTTATTAGTTTACAAGCTTTCATTTTAAAATTCTATTTCTATATTTAAAATAGAACATTTGAAATTGAAATTGAAATGATTAATTTTTACATCTCTGTCTAATGCCTATTAACTGCTAACTACAGTATCTCTTTCTTTATAGTTTGGTCCATTTTCTCTGTACAGGAGATGCAAACAGATCTTGAAACCATTATGAAAATCAACGCTGCTGGAGAAAGTGAGTGTTGAAATTTTCTTTCTCAGTCAGAAAATCAGGTGACAACTCCTCAGACAATTACAAAGCAGCACTATAGTGCAGAGGAACTGTTTAAAACCACTGATCTAATGCCAAAGTGTCTACATATAAATGTGCAAGGGAGTCAAAAACCTGTGTTTACTTGTAAAGAGAGGGTTTAGTTTCATATTAAAAGTTTGAAAGGATGACTACACATAGACACAGAAAGCCTGTGAGAGTTAGTGTATTTACTTAGCCATAGTTTAGGGCCAAAATTGCCCCCAGAAGTTAGCTAAATCCTGTCTTTAGAAATTATAAGTAGCATAAAAACAATGCAAGTCTGTGCTATGTGTGCATTTGTATAGCTAGGTTAATGTGTTTGTGTGCTGGTGCAGACAGCGGCATGCCGTCTCTGTCTAATCGCCTTCTTTATGACAGGCGGCGGGTTCTAACATGACAGCTACATGGATTATAATTTAGCCGGTTGACTAGCACAAACTTGCTGTAATGTGTTTGTGAGTATTTATCTCTGCTAGAACATGCCACAGGTGACCTTTGAGCTCCTTAAATGTGTCAAATATAGGCTAGTGTTTATGTGAATGTCGAAGGGTTGCTGTTTTGCATCACCACTGTGTTTTTTTTTAATGTGCCATTGGGTTAATCAGTCTTGACTTTTTGCGCACTAATTCATTAGTGACCGTTGAGTAGCTAAAGATGGAATCCAGATGGTAAGCTTTGTGTTTTCTTCTGTGTGTGGTCAGTGATGCAGTGCTCTGCAGCAGTGGATATTCTCTTTGTGATGGACAGCTCCTACAGCGTTGGGAAAGGAGGATTCGAACGATCCCGGCACTACATGTTGAAGCTGTGTGAGGCTCTTGATGTCAGCCCAGACAAGGTCAGATTTGCATAGAAATCAATGTCAGATTAAAAGTAACACCCAAAAGTAAAGAATAGTCATTATTTACTCACTCATATGTTGTTTCAATGTCGTTTCATTTACAATGCAGCTCTTGACATAATGAAAGTTGGTAACGCTTTAGATTACAGCCCGGAAAGTGCGTAATTAAAGCAATTTTACAGCGTAACCTTCAGTAATTATTGTGTACCTATAACGTACTTACAATATAAGTATAAGGGAACAATATGTAAAGTTTGGGCAATAAAGGGGTAACAACCAGGAGAATTAAAAAAATATGTATACTGTAAGTATTATCTAAGTTAATACTTAGATAATACTGTATTAGTATTAACTAAGGGGTTATTATTCCACTATTATGATATAACAATCTTACATTTGGGAGCAATTTAGCAAGAACATACACTGCTTACCATTTTGAAATAATGGTGAACCAATACATGCTGTATAGGCTTTTTAAAAATTACAGGGTACATCTATACATTTATAAAGTAATATTTTTAACAAAAGTGCACTGAAAACGAAAAATATTGCAACTTTTACTTAAATATTGTGGAAAGATACTCTTGTTTCATGTAGCTTGTTACCCCCTTGTTCCATGTAGTTACAGGGTAAGTGTAACATTGTGGGCTGTAAATTAAAGTGGTGCTTGTTACCCTCTTGCTCCATGTAGTTACAGGGTAAGTACAATAAAAATGCATACACAATCTTATATCACTGACTCGGAAACCTTTATTTATTATACAAGCACCACTTACCCTGTAACCACATGAAACAAGATATATTTCCCAGTATTTTGAACATCTGCACTTTTGCTATAAAAAAAAACACAAGTATAAATGCATAGATATGTACCCTGTCATTTAAAAAAAGCCTATACAGTATGTATAATTGGTACACAATTATTACAAAAAGGTACGCAGGTATGTTCTCGCTAAATTGCTCCCAAATGTAAGATTGTTGTATCATAATAGTAGAATAATAACCCCTTAGTTCTATAATACTTACAGTATAAATATTTATAATATTTATAATATTTTAATTCTCCTGGTTGTTACCCCTTTATTCCCCAAACTTTACATATTGTTCCCTTATACTTATATGTAAGTACGTTATAGGTACACTATAATTACCGAAAGTTACTCTGTAAATTCCTCTTAATTACACAGTACTTTCCGGGCTGTAATCTAAAGCGTTACCTGAAAGTTTATTGTGATATGGGGTATTCAAGTAACCATGCAGTAACCAACTGTGACAAGGCAAGATTATCAGTGAATAATGACTGATTATAGTGAACAGTTGGTCTTTTTTTGTCACATAAAGACATCATTTGACTTCAGAAGATGTAAAGGAATATAGCATACAAGTCAAATAAACTATCTTTATGGTGCTTATTGTGTTTTGATATATGACAGCCATTGTCACTACAAAAATATCAGAATACAGGATTGGAACGACGTGATATGAAAGCTTGTTTTCACGACGGAATAAAAAAATTAAAAAGGTAATTGCAATCTCACAATTCTGACCTTTTTTCCTTAGCAGTTTCGAGTTTATATCTCACAAAATCTCAGAATTAAAAGATTTAAACTGAAAAGTCAATGGTCAGCTAACTTATTTCTCAAAATTGCAAGTTTTTATCTCACAATTATGAGATGTATATAAGATATAAACTCGCAATTGTGAGTTATAAAGTAAGAGTTGTGATATATGAACTCAGGAAAAAATAAGTCAGAATTGTGATATATAAACTTGCATTTGTGAGGAAAAAAAAGTCTGTAATATTCGCAATTCTTTTTTTTTTTCATACGGAAACAAGCTTCCTTAACATTAGGGTAATGACAGAACTTCATTATTGGGTGACCTATTCTTTTAATTCTTGCATGCAGTCTCTCAAATTGTGGCATTATGTTGAATAATTATGTTAGTTTCCTCTTCATGTTTATGGTGTTTAAATGTTCTCTATTTTGGGCAGGTGAAAGTTGGCGTGGTTCAGTTTGGTTCCACGCCCAAACTGGAAATCAGTCTAGACTCCTACAAGAGCAAGGACGAGCTGAAGAAAAAGATGAAGAAAATCCACTATAGGTACAGAGATTAGTGTTATTGTGTGTCTATCAGGGCTCAGCACTTCCTGTGGAGGATGAGAAATATCTCACTCCATTTTACATCTTTGAAACTTTGTCGACACAGCCATGGGGACTTGTGTTTACAATACACTCTCAACATGTGTGTGCATGTGTGTCGGAGTGCGCTGTGTCATGATGGATGACTTTATGAGGTTGAATTAATGTTTTTTTGTAGTGAAGGCTGTGCAGGGTTCTGTAATGACTAGTAGCTGAATTACACTTAGAGCACACAGCTGGCCTAAACCTTATCACCCAGTCAGGACATACCACATCTCCCTAGACAAGCTGTGAAATTACCGTTTCAGATTCATACTCCATGAAAATTTCACCACTCGTCTGTCTAGCTGAACAACTGTGAGCAAAGATGATGGAGAGAAGCCCAGCTGTGCACATGCCTGTGTCGCCACTGACATTAGTCAATATCCCTGCAGGATGGAGGAGATCATGTATTTCAGCACTGTATAAAGAAGCATTGTCAGTAGTTGACATTGAAAAATATAGCTGTTATACCATTGTTTAAAAAGTTACTTGTGAAACTGTATTTTATATATAATCATTCTTATATTGTGATTTGGTTGCAATTCCTACATCAGTTTCTTAATCAACTGGCTAGTTTACCATTAACTCCAATTTATGTATCAAGTGTTAATTTATGAAGTACAGAGAATGTACAGTTTTAACACTGGAAAGAAGGCAAGCAGAGTTTAAATCAACCCAAAGATGAAGATGTAGCCTGTGTGAAGCTGAGAGTGCTGTATCTGGTTTAGGTTTCATCATGCAGGGTGCTTTAAGGACACAGTGGACTGAAGGGAACTAAAGGCTTCTGTGGACTTCTGAGGGGCCGCTGTAGTTACATTAATGAGATTAGAGCAGAGGCAGTGAAGGAAAACTCACAAAGAAAAACCAGACTGTCCTCTTTATTGTGCAGTGTAATGTTGACTGTGTTGCTGGGTTTCTGAGTTACTGTTTTCCACAGTTGAGGTGTGACAAGCCAGAAAGCTCATAATAAAGACTGGAATATCACGTCACAGTAGTAATTTTGATATTTCTAAACTCTCAGTTTTATGTCTTAAAAATGTGAAATGTTTAAAGTAATTCTTTCTCTCCTTCAGAGGTGGAAGCACACAGACAGGTCTGGCTCTGAAGTTCGTTTTGAGGAAGGGGTTTTCCGGCGGACGCAATTCCACTGGGCAACGCATCGTGATCCTCTTATCTGACGGAAAGTCCCAGGGGGCAGTGCAGCTGGCTGCCTCGGAGCTCAAGCTGTCTGGAGTGACTCTGTTTGCCGTGGGGATCCGTTACCCAAGGTAACACACAACATTTCCACTGACTTCAATCACTGAATAAAACCTTCACATCTCTAATTACCCGCTTCGACAGAACCTCTCAGAAACATGTCCAGGTAATATTCCAACCCCCCACTAAAAAAAAAAAAAAGAAAAAAAAGAAAAAAGAAAAAAAAAAGCCTATTTTTAGGACCAAGAAGATATTTTTCAATTGTGACATTATTTTCATGACATTTAAGCATCTTCTCACCATATTTTCATTTACCATAGCCTACTGCAAAAATTGGACTACAGTATCTCATTTGAATTTTAATACAAAAAAAGACTTATTAGTGCTGTCAAATTGACTACCGGTAATCGCAATAAATCACATCAAACATAAAAGTTTGTAAATATCTAATATATGTGTGTGTATGTATATATGTACAGTTTATATATGTAAACAGTACACACACACATACACACACAAATATACAGAAATAAAAAAAGAGATACTCAAAATATTATGTACATAATTCTACATTAATTAGTGTCGTCAAATTTAGTTATCGCGATTAACATATAAGTTATACACACAAAATTGTATGTTTATTGCGATAAATTGAATTGACAGCACTAATTAATATAGAATTATGTATATAATTTGAGTATCTAATTTTTAATTCCGTGAAAAATAATGATTGTATATTGTTTTAAATGTATTAATTACTTTTATTTAAATTGTATTTATTAATTATTATTATTATATTAATTTAATTGTAATAATTGTATTATATGTTATTTGTCGTACTGCCTTCATTTTATGCCAATTAAAAAAAAAAAAACACAACACAAAATACAACAAAAACATAATATTACTCTAATAAGAATCAATATAAAATATAAAAATATTGTAAATTACAAAACAAAAAACTCCAGATGTATTATGGTTATGTATTATGGACTTTTCATGAAAATAATGTCAAAAAAAAAAAAAAAAAACCAGCTGGTCTTTTTTAAATATTTTTTATTTGGGTAAGTTGTTTTATCACTTTATATTTATTTTGTGTCCTTGGTAATACACTCTGTCAGTAACACTGTACAGTATTGCATCAGAAAGTAATATTGTGGTACTTTAATATATACCATGGCGCTGAGAGATTACCATATTGATGTACCGTAGTATTTTCCTTTGCATGGCACTTCAATGTACGGTGAAGAATACTATAGGAATTTAAATTTTTTTTTAAAGAAATTTCATAAAATGAAAATATATTTTCTGTGCTTTTTAGTGATTGTTTTGAAACATTTTGCAGGGACAGGTGCGTTCATATTTGAAATGTTTTCAGCTCTATTAGTCAGTGAACTGATGTGCTGACAGCTCTCAGACACACTGACAGGTGTGTTATTTCACACCAAAAGGCTGCTGACAGCCTGGATGTGTGGTGTTACTGTTGGTTAGGCTGCAGATAGTGTAATTCCTCTGTTCTGTCTTTACTTTGAGGCTTTATGACAGCTTCCCAACAGGTGCAGGAGGAAGAGAGAATCTCAGTGGATAAACTCACCTTAACTGGCATTTCTAACAGCTGGGAGTCTATCAGTGTTGTGTTTGGGTGGATTACTGTGACGTTTGGATGAATGAAACCCCTCAGAGCTCTTGCAGCACTATATGCTCTGTCTGCTCAAAATGTATTTTATTTCACCATGTGTAACATAAATCTGGAATTGACTGTGTGACCTACGCTACGGTTTAAAAGTTTGAGGTCTGCAAGATTTTTTTTTTTTTTTTTAGAAATTAATACTTTTATTCAGCAAGTAGGTGATCAAAAGTGACTGAAAAATATTCAGCAAGTAGGTGATCAAAAGTGACAGTAAATACATTTATAATGTTACAAAAGATTTATATTTCAAATAAATGCTGTTCTTTTGAGCTTTCTATTCTCTCAAAGAATCCTGAAAAAAATCCACAAAATCCTCAAAAAATATGAAGCACAAATATTTTTAACATTGATAATACTATGAAATGTTTTTTTGAGCACCAAATCAGCATATTAGAATAACTTCTGAAGGATCATGTGACACTGAAGACTGGAGTAATGATGCTGAAAATTCAGCTTTGCCGTCAAAGAAATTAATTACAATTTTAAAACATTCAAATGGAAAACAGTTATTTTAAATTGTAATAATATTTCACAATATTACTGTTTTACTGTATTTTTTGATCAAATAAGTGTAGTGAGAGCATAAGACACTTCTTTCCACAACATAAAAAAAATGATTTTTTTTATATATAATGTATAATAAATGTTCATACTGCCTGGCAGATATCAATAAAAAAAGATATGTTCCATTATAACCCTTCAGAAAACTTAGCCAAAGCGAATGTTTATCTTTTATTTTTGTTTAGAGCTTTAAAGAAAAATGTCTTTCTCTTGTAAGGTGGGAAGAGCTCCATGAACTGGCGAGCAGCCCATCGGATGCTCATGTGTTCTTCGCGGAGCACTTCAGTGATGCTGTTAATGGATTATTCACCAGCCTCACCACCTCCTCCGTCTGCACTGCCGTTCCTTCAGGTAAAAAACTCACCTGTGACTCAATCAACAGCGCCTTTATGAACAGCAAGTGATGTTTCCTGCACTGTGATATCTGCAGGGTGTAAGGTGGAGTCTTACCCGTGTGTGCAGAAAACCCTGGAGACGGTAAAAGAGCTTCAGGGAAACTTCATGTGCTGGAAAGGGTCCAAGGGATACTCACCATACACATCCCTCTGCCCTCATTACAGGTAAATGACATGGATTGAACAAAACGCATGGCTCTTGAGATGCTTTTGGCTATTCTAAAGTCTAAAAAACACTTCATTCCATGACACATACCTATGGCGAGTCAAAATGACCTTAATGTACTGTCTTTCTCACCATTATACAGTCACAGAGATGCCTCAGGTCTGAGATTATGTTTGTATTGTATCATATTGTGTGTGTTTTTGTTCTTTCGAAGCATCGCAGGCTCATATTGAGGTTTCATGGCCTGAGGTGAAACATAAAGCAGATCATTAACAGAAATGTATGGAATGAAACTGGTTGTCTTACAGAAACCTTGACAATATATTATAAATCGATTAATCACGATTTCATTTAACATAAAAGTCTTAGTTTACATAATAAATTAATGTGTGTGTGTGTATATATATTATTAGATGTCTATATATTATACATGTCTGTGTGTGCGTGTATACATACACGCACACACACACACACACACATATATAATATAAATATATATATACACACACCTTTATTATGTAAACAAAAACTTTTATATTAGATGCAATTAGTCGATTTAACAGCACTAATACATATATAAATATAATATATACTGTATATATAAAATAAATATTATGATTATTATTAATCATTTTGAGGTTTCATGGCCTGAGGTGGAACATAAAGGAGTTCATTAAAGTAACACTAAGTAGTTTTTCAACCTTCATAATATATTTCCAAGACCCTTGTGATGGTACATCGACTTAAAATAAGTTAAATGACACGTCTGCTATAGCCTGACGTGGTCTGTATCGCTTTTACTGGCACTATGTAACTTCGGGTTTCAGGTAGGAATCCGTGCACAAAAAGAACTACAAAATTCGACTGCTTTACGGTATACGTCACTTCCCCCACCACTTCCTCAAATTGCCTGTGGCCATTGCAGACATCCCAAGTCTCCCGGGAGTCTCCCGCATATTGATAGCATCTCCCTGATGCCCGAAGATTAGTTCAAATCTCCCGGAATCTAGAGCGCGCATGCGAGACAAAACATACTGCGCGCTTAACATACATAGCGCGAGGACGGCAGAGAGGGAGAGAGCGAGAGACCTTGCGAGTGTGCCTCATGAAAGCTAGTCAACCCACCACCCGTCACCCGTCGCCCCCCCCCCCCCCCCCCCCCACCCCACCCCCCGTCAGCAATCCACTCACCAAGATATACCTCCCTGAAATGACTTCTTGCAGGTTGGGATGTCTGCCATTGTTGATTCCAAAGCCAGTGCTGGATAAACAGCGAGCGTGCGCGTGCGACAGTATATGTGGAAGGCTAAATTATTTACGACAGCGGTAATGGACAATTCCGCTTCCAACCTGTAGGGCGACCGCAGAGGAAAAGTTCCTTGGTGTTACTTTAACAGAAATGTGAAACTGGTTTCATTGTCTTCCAGAAACCTTGACCAAAAAAATAATATAGCGTTATTATTATGATGATTTAAGGTCAAATAAACAGATAGTAATAAATAAATAAATGAATATTAATAATATAGTTTATTATTATTATTCATTTTGAGGTTTAATGGCCTGAGGTGAAACTTAAAGGAGTTCAGTGATGTGTGGAGTGAAAGTGGATTGTTTTACAGGTTTACATTGTTTTACAGGTATAGCAAAGTTTACAGGCAGCACCCCGTTGTCTGTCAACGAACTGTCTGTCCAGGTAAGACCCAAGAATCAGAATAATTAATAATGAATATTTAATTCCATGATCATTAGAATTTGATTAATAGAAATGATTCCCTCTCCCTTCAGAACCATGTGACTCTCAGCCCTGTCAGAACGGGGGGACGTGTATATCTGAGGGACTGGAGAAATACCGCTGCGAGTGTCCCACAGGCTACGGCAGTGACCCCAATTGTGGTGAGTTCACATTCATGTGCCTTTCTTCCCACACTCCTCAGCGAGTAACGGGCTGTGCCTGTCTCACTGTGTGTGTTTTGTTTTGGTGGGTTTGAGTGGATTGTATGCGTGTGTGGGAGTTGTCACAAACAGCTCATGGTTTCAGGTTACAGTGGGGGTCAGCTTTCGGGCTAGGTCATGACTGAACTATACCTCAGAGGTCTTATGTCCTTCAGATGAAAGGGACACTCTAATTATGAGCTAATAATATCACTCTGTTTCCATCTAAATTTGTTGCCTTGTGCCGTGAAATGCAACCTTCAAATTTATTTCGTATATACATACCAATATATTGATATAGATACAATATTGCCAAATAATCAATGTACACAACAAAAGCAGTGAATGAATAAATACATAAATAAAATTATTATGAATATTTTTATTGCCAAAGCATCAACATACACAACAAAAGCAGTCACTAAAAAAATAAAAATAATAATATTGTAATAATTAATAATAATAATAATAATAATAATAACATAGTAATAATATTGTTTTACAAAATATAAAAAAATTAAACACATTTACGGTAATAATAACATTCAAATAATATCTTTAATATACATTGTGTGTGATCGCTGTTGCAGGCCAACAGCTGTAAAATGAACAACCACATTTGTTTTGTTTTTATATACTATTTAGGGTGAGATAAATCTGAAATGAATAATATCGCAACAATAGTGCCATGATTAAACAATGACACAGCAGTCTCCAAAAACAATTAAACATTAGCAAAAAAGAACATTAAAGAAATTAGTGTTCAATTCAATTCCCTTTTATTGTCATTGCATAATACATTGAAGTTAATTAGCAAACCTTACGGTGCGTCCACACATGACAACACAACAGCAATAATTATGACAAAATAAATATGACACACTATAATACCGAAACTTGACAGTTTCATGTAAAGATATTGCACATTGTTATCACAAAGTGGCCCTAACTCTAATTATAATTAGTGCATTTGAATCATGACCATTCGAGGTGTCATCAAACATTGACACATAGTGTTTAGCAGTGTTGTTCAGTTCTCTGATGGCTCTTGGGTAAAAACTGTTCTTAAAACTATTAGTACGTGATGCAATAGACCTGAAACACCCAACAGAGGGCAACTGGACAAACGGAAGATGTTAAAGATGATGATTACTGTATGTTAGCCGCTCTACTCAGACAACGAGAGCTGAATAAATGTTTTAGTGAGGGTTTTCTAGATGGGGCTGGTATAGTTTCCTAAACGAGATTCCAAGAATCTGTTATCAGTCTCCATGAGTTCCATTGTAACACTGACATAGAATCCTCCGGCCAATCACAACATGATGACACACGCACAACCTCCTGCTGTCAGTCAGTGTGAATGACATCACAGGCAGGGGTTAGATCACATGACCCCACTTAACCTGCAGAGTGAAAGATGGATCTTTTTGTTTGTTTATGCTCTCATAAATGCATTTTTGCATGTGCTAATGGGTAAAGAAGAGTCTCACATGAGCCTAACTAAAGTCTAAAATAAACACAAGATAATGCAGAAGTGGTGTTCTTTAGATCTGAAAATGGAATCTTAAAGTGTCAATCAAAGCGGCTCTTAACCGTCTCCTCTTTTTCCAGCTCCCGTTCTGAGTTTCGACTGCTCTGTGGATGTGCTCTTCCTGGTCGAGGGCTCCTCTTCTCTTACTCTGGAGGGTTTCTTGCGCTTCAAGTCCTTCTTAAAGCGTTTCATGCAGGCTGTACTGAGCTCTGACACCCCTGTAAAGATGGGGTTGGCCCAGTATAGCAGCGACGTGAAGATCGAAGCCAAAATTGGGGAGCACAGAGACCCGGCGAAGCTGATCCAGGCCGTTGAGCGCCTGCAGTATCGTGGTGGCCAGGCCAAGGCTGGAAACGCTCTTCGCTACATCACACGCAATGGCTTTCAGAGCGCACCCGTGTTTGCCGACGTTCAGGACGACCTGCCGCGAGTGGTAGTGCTGCTCACGGGGACGCCCTCGGCGGACCCTGTGGTGGAGCCAGCGAAGTACGCACGGGACAGGGAGATCTTCATCATCGGTGTAGGACCAGAAGGGATGAGGGCTGAAATAAACAACATAACAGGAAACCCCCAGCGCACCATCACATACCAGTCACCCGACAGATTGACCGCTAAGATCCCGGAACTAAGAGCCAAAATTTGCAGTGTCGACAACCAGGGTAGAGATCTTAACCATTCTTTATTGACACAACTGTAAAGTCCTTACATAGATCGTTGCACCTCAAGGAATAGTTCTCCTCAAATAATAGTCAGTCATTATTTCCTTACTTTAGTGAGGATGCTTTACATTTTCCATCTAATGGACTCTTTTCACAGACTGTGATGATGTGTTTCCAAAGTTATGAAAATTGTACGTTAAAGCGTTTTTTTATTTTATTTCCTCAACACTAACGAAGATGAAAATGTGAATGATTAGGATAATTCTTCAATCTTAATCAAAATACACTGCTGACAAAAATGAAGAAATAAACATAACCCCTATATTAGCAATACACTTCCAGAGTCCAAGAATAATCTCAAAAGAATATGATTGTTTATAATTCATTCATAATCAGTAAAGTCTGAGATTGACCTGCTTGAACACTAAATTTAGTAATTGGGAGAACGCAAAAGTTTTGTGAGTGAAAGCAATAGGTTTGTGAGGGAACGCTAAGTTTATTGGGGAATGCAAAACTTTTGGATAAAAGTTTTGACAGGGAATGCAAAAGTTTTGCTAACGAAAAAGTTTTTGCGAGTGGAACACAAAGTTTCTCAGGGCAATGGAAAAACTTTTGGAAGAAAAAGCAAAAGCATCAAAAATATTGATCTCATTTCTCATATTTATTCCATCACCATGTCCATGTCCCTTGTGTTACAACAGCAAACCACAATGATCCAACAATCCAATCAATTCCCAATGGACAAAATCACAACTTCTGTTACATGCCGACTTTAACCATGATACAAACTAGTCAGGATGTCACATTGTGATTATGCTCTAATATATGACAATGAAATTGTCTAGCAAAAATCTAGCAGTCCCAGACAGCAACATAGTGTCGGCGCAGATCCTGGCCACATCACGTCGGATCACATAGCCGACACCATGTTGCTGTCTGGGGTTTCCAAAACAGATAAATGAAAAAGTTTTTTTGGGAACTGGACTATTCCTTTCAGTTTGGTTATGTTTTTTTTGTTTTTTTTTAAACTGTTATACTAACGCCTTTTGTCTTTGTTAGGCTGCCTGGGTCAAGCTTTGGACCTTGTTTTTGTGCTGGACGCCTCCAGTGCTGTAGGCAAGGACAATTTCGTCCACTTTCAAGACTTTGTTCGGAGCACCTCAGTGCAGTTTGACATCAATCGAGATGTGGCTCAGGTGGGACTGGTGGTTTATGGGAGGCGGCCCGTCACGGTCTTTGACCTGGACAAGTATGACTCGGGCTCTGCTGTGCTGAAGGCAGTGGGAGACGCTGCTTTTCTTGGTGGGAAGGCCTCTACAGGTTCAGCCCTGCTCCATGTGCTCTCCCAGAGCCTGACGGTGGGGAAAGGAGCGCGACCTGGAGTCAACAAGGCTGTGGTGGTGCTGACTAATGGGACGGGTGTGGAGGATGCAGTGGTGCCCGCCCAGAAGATCCGTGATAGCGGAGTGTCAGTGTTTGTGATTGGCATCGGGAGCTTACAGCAAGAGGTCCTCATCCGCATCGCCGGCTCTGAGGATCACATGATCTCTGTACCTTCATATGATGACCTGAAATACTCTGAGGATGTGCTGGTACAGATGGTGTGTGCAGGTACGACCGCACAAATATTCCCCTTTGAAAACCTTTGTTCATCTGTGATGGATTTATATTCTACTGTTGCTCGCTTTCTACAGACGTGAAGAAACCTGTTCACCTGTGCAGTCCCAACCCCTGTATGAATGATGGCGTCTGTGTGCTTCTCAACGGCAGCTACCGCTGTGAATGCCGTGGGTGGAAGGGTCCACACTGCGAAACACGTCAGTACCAGTAACTACTAATTAGTCTTTTGTACTAGTAATGGATATTCTTGTTTTCCTGGAGATGGGAAGTTGACATGTAGGTATTTTTCACAATTTTTAGTCACCTTATTTGCTGTTTTTTTTTTTAAATTAAAACCTATATACGTATATATATATATATATATATATATATATATATATATATATATATATATATAAACACATTCATATGTGTATATATATATATATATATATGTGTGTTTTTATTACTTGTTTTAGTTTTGTAAATATACAGCTGCATTTTCAGCATCATTACTCCAGTGTCACATGATCCTTCAGAAATCATTCTAATATGCTGATTTGTTTTTTTTCATGATTATATGATGAAAATAAAATCAAAAGAACATTTGTGTGAAAGTTTTTTTTTTTACATTAAATTAATCCTTGCTGAATAAAACTTAATTCCTTTTTTTTAAACTTTAAGTTTATACCATATATATATATATATATATATACTAATTATATATTTATTTTTCGTACCCCAATGGGGTATATGTATATATATTTCCATCGGGGTACGGAAAATAAACTTGAATGAAGATGCAGAATATGAAAACAAGTCAAATATTAACATGGTTTTCTCAAGTAAATTTACCTCGTAAGGATGCTTAGATATGCATATTCTTAAAATAAGACAAAAAATGTGATTAAGATCATTTTTTTGCACTGCAAATCTTGGTTATTTAACCCATCTTATAACAAATTAAAATGGCTTCACACATGTTATGTTAGTGATGCTATGTTATGTTGCTCAGAATGTTTTGTTCATTTTTCTGTGCCCGCTGGATGGGTCATAATTTTGGTTGGCAGGGTATATTTAGGTGTTTTGATTTATGTATTTTTGTGAACTTGTTTTTTCAGGAAGCAGAGATCCGCCAAGCAGAGGAGATCTCCCTAAACCTGCAGGCCTGAGGCGCCGTCAGCACAAGAGTGAAAAAGAGCTGCTGCAGCGCTATAGGGAGCACCGCAAGAGACACGCGTCCCGAACACAGCACAGATGAAGAGAACAACGCACACTACACACACAAAGACCCAGCTCAGCAATGGGTTAACATTCATTCTACAATTCACTCTGGTGGTGAACACACAATCCAGACGACACTCCACGGGTATCTATTACATGAATTTTGTAAATACGTTTTGTGCCTTAAAAATTTGGATTTTTTTATTTAGTTAATCTTAACTCTTTCCCTGCCATTAATGGAAATTTCCATCATTTATGACACAATGCTTCCCCAATACAGTACACATCTTCTAAGAGATTAAAGAAACAGGCAAAAAAGAAGCAGAAACGAGTGATAAAAGCATTGCTTATGCACGTTGTAGTCTTTGACAAAAACACAATTTTCTCAGCTTTTTGTTGCTTTTTATGAAACTTACCCACATTCAAGTATTGCATGAAGCAAGAATAAAATGTTTTGCTCAGATTTTCATACAACAAAATATTCTTGGGGCCATGAACATTTTGTGAAAATGATCAAAAATGCTGGTGGTGACTGGCAGGGAAAGAGTTAAGGGGTTTTGATGCTGTTTGTGTTGATTATTCAGCACTGAAGACCCTTTATGAACGTGTCTTCTGTCTGAGATTTGGACTTGCTTGTGATCTGTCATAATGAAAAATCCTTGTGTAACAGAAAGCCTCATGTTAGAGGCTTATGTTTTTGACCATATTTATTTTTTTATCAGTTACAGTGATGCATTTGTCTATTGTAAAGCTATAAAAAAAAATTTTCCAGAACCTTGCCTAACTCAAAATACTTTCTATTGTTTTAGTGTTGTTTTGGTTCCACCTACTGGGGGGAAAAAATGCAGTTTTGTTTTCTGCAATTTCAAAGCAGGATGCCGTTTGCATAAATATGCATTGTTGTCAGTACAAACTTTTATTTGAATAAAAAGTGCATGTTTCAGCTAGCGTACAGTAACAAACCGAAAAACACTGAACGGATACGTTATATATATTCACATCTTGGTTACCAGCATACATGAACCAAGCTACAATGTACCAAATGGCTGATTTAAAGTCTTGAATCTAAATGTTTCAATATAAAAATAGTGGTTCTCAAAGCTCTCCTAAACTCCTTTTTGGTCTCTTCTCAAGCTTGTGAAACATCCATCACATACTGTGCACACCACTGGAAGAGTAGTTTCTATCATTCTCCTCCTTTCTCTTACATAAAATGACTCGAATAGATTTAAAATCTATTGTTGTCCAGTGGCATTATTTGGCAGGGAACAGAAAATATTGTCTTGGATCAGCTGCCTGATGTACCCAGTGCCATCTCAGCCTCTGATAGCAGAGACGCAGAGATGCAGGGACGAGTGGAGGGTGATGTATCAGAGGGGCGGAGCCTGCAGGGAATTGGACACACCCTCTTCCCCTCCCTGCCTGAAGCGTTTGCCTTAGCAGTCCTTTGAGCTTTGGCTAAAAAGTCTTTTTGCACTCGCTGTTCCCATCTATTAGGTTGTGGATTTTTTCTCCCATTCCTGCAGAAGAAGAATGACATCAGCTCAGGCAGTAACAATCAGGAACATATTGTAAAAAAAAAAGATGATGACTGAATACATCTTTACATCTATATACATACACTACCATTCAAAGGTTTAGGGTCAGTAATATATTTGAAAGAAATTAATAGTTTTATTCAGCAAGAATGCATAATATAGGTCAAAATTGACGGTAGACTTTTTACAATGATACAAAAAATTCTAAAAACTTTCTATTCATCAAATTATCCTATTAAGCAGCTCAACTGTTTTTTTCAACATTGAAAATAAATGTTTATTGAGCAGCAAATCATATTATTAGAGTGATTTCTGAAGAATCACATGACTTAAGAAAATTCAGCTTCGCCATCACAGTATACATTACATTTTAAAATACATTTAAATATTTTATAGTAAAAAAAATATATATAAAAGTTATGTTACTTTTGTAGCAATATTTCACAACTGTTTTACTGTATTTTTGAGCAAATAAATGCAATCTTGGAGAGTATAAGAGACTTCTTTCAAAACATATTTTGACTCTTGAACGTTAGTATATATACACTGTCATTTGCATGGTACTTCACTGTACTTCAAAGAAATCCATGGGATTACCATGGTGGTACATGTCCAAAAACCATGGCATTAGAACTTTTCTGTTGTGTACAGTTGCTTTGACTGAGAAATGATTGTATTTTTTTTTATAAAGTTGTAAGATTGTTGTAAAATTGTGAGATTATCATAAAGTCATCATAAAAAAGCTAAGCTCTCTGTTAGAACTATGGATGCCTAAGTGGACTCTGACCTTGGCCTTCTGCAGAACGTTTCCTTTGTTGGGTGCCATGATGGACACGGGTCTGTTCTTCAGCGCTGTGGCACAGTTCACAGCCGAATCTCCATTGTTGGTGGGTGTATTTGTATTTGGAGCAGGACTGGCGACAGGTGCCATCTTGGGCTACAAACAAAACAATACAAAGTCAGCTCACGTAGTTCAAATATACAGTCCAAAAAAAAAAAAAAAAACACAGAAAGAACACAGTGGGATTGAATTCTTAACTATCCTGAATTGTACCACAATTGTGCTGAATTATGTCTAGGTTTGCAATTCACTTGGTTTTGGAACAGTTTAAGACTTTTTAATGTTTTTGAAAGAGGCTTCTTATGCTCACCAGAGCTGCATTTATTTGATCAGAAATACAGTAAAATCGTGAAATATTATTACAATTCAAAATAAATGTCTTCTAATCTTTTAAAATGTAATTTATTCCTGTGATGGTAAAGCAGAATTTTCAGCATCGTTGCTCAGTGTCACATGATCCTTCGATCATTCTGATATGCTGATTTGGTGCTCAAGAAACATTTTTATTATCAATGTTTAAGACAGTTGTGCTACTTTTTTTCAGGATTCTTTGAATAATAGAAAGTGTAAAAGAAGTTTGAAATATAAATCTTTTGTGACAATAAAATTGTCTTTACTGTCACTTTTGATCAATGTAATGCGTTCTTGGTGTATATTCATTAAAAAAGTAAATATATAATTATTTACGTATAATACATGATTAAAAACAACTTTTGAACGCTAGGGTGTATATAATTACATTCCCCTACACAGAGTGCATGAAAAGAGTCACTGAATTCTGTTGTCATGAGACTAACCGTTAAAGTTTCCAGTACACTGCTGTCTACCGTGGTGCCCAGTGTAAAAGGTCCAGCTTCCACTTTTCTCAAACTCTCCTTCACCTCCATCAAGCTAAGCTCCACCTCCACTCGTCGACGCTCTGCCTCACGACACGTCTCCTCCATCTGCTTCAGACGAGCCTCCAGAGAGGCCTGCTGGGTGGGGTCTATGAAAGCCATAATCAAAAGCATTTATTAGCATTTTACATGCACAGTGACAGTATCTCAGCACTATATAAAAGTACATCAAGTTTTATAAAATTAGCAAACAGTAGCAGCATAAAAAGAATCCAAAGTTAGAACAACATAAGGGTTGATAAAAAATGACTCAACTATCTTTTTTCAGTAAACTATTGCTTCAACACGAGTGTTTCCTAACATGACCATTAGGCGTCACTGCAGTACCTTGACAGGAGTTTAGCTCTTCTTTCACCTCTCGTCTGTCTTTCCTCAGTGTGGCCAGAATGTTTTTAACCTCCTCCCTCTCTCGCTCCAGTCGGTCTCTATCGTCGGTGTAACGTCGCACGTCGGCCTCCGTCCTGTTCTTCCCTAATTTCACCTCAACCGACCCTGGGGCTGCTAAACAAGAGGAGCTTGTAGGAGTCATGACCTACATTCACATTCTGCAAGTATACTCACTTGAGTGCATGGTTGGGAAAAATAAATACAAGTTTTGTAGGTCTGCATTACAGCTGAAGGCTCTCACCTGCTGGAGAGAACTTGAGCCTGTCGAGAAGTCTATCCGCGCTGGCGGCTCTTCCTCTGGAGGTGGGAGGACTCTGGGGCATCTGGGGTAGGGTTTGGGGTGACAGAGAGGCCTTCTTTTGGCCTTGCTGACTAAGGAAACTGATTTTTTGAGTCTGGACGTACAGATTGGGGGCTGGAGAGGGATCTGCGTCCACTCTTGGGGCTACAGGTGGAGGGTCCAGTATCTCTGTGCTGCTTGGTAGTGAGGTTTCATATTCAGACTGTTTTGAAGAGACAAACATTCAGCAAACATTGTGCTACTGTGGCCTTGGTAACACACTAGAATCCAATTTATAATTCCTACATTTTCTTAGAAAAAAAAAAAGTCACGATGAAACCGAAGTCGCGACAAATGTTTTTATCTATATTGTGACATACATCTGAGTGTAAAAGGTTATTGATGAAGAAAGATGTAGGACAGGAACTTGTTTCTATGCATTGGCTGTTTCTTGTATTTTGAGATGTGGGCTTGCAAGGGGGGGAATTTATGCAGATTAAATGATTAGTGATGTCTTGCAATATCTCATCAGAGTGAAGTCTGTCATTTTCACAGGAAGATCCAGTAATAATAAGGTCAAAAAAACGAAAAAGAAACATACATGGATTTTTCATTTACAACTAGGTCTATGAACATGGATTTAGAAAATAACATTGCATCTAATCTTAACCTCTTGAGGCTGTAGCTGATCATGTTCTGGAGCAGCTGAGGGACTGAGCTCTGTCTGTACGGTGTTGGACATCTGGGGTGACCCTCTGCCCGAGCTCGTGTGCAGGAAGGAGCGAACCGGGATCAGATCCAGATACACTCTCTCCTTCCCGTTCTCCTCAGTGCTTGCTGTTCCCTCCTCGCTGCCATTCTGAACCTCTTGAACCTCCTACAGCCGGAGAGAGGAACAGTATCAGAGAGAGATTATTGAATTTGGATGGCCTGCAGGGTTACAAAAACACAACACTGTCACAGCAATGACTTCCTGCCACTCGTATTATTTCTGTCCGACTGCTAAGTGAATCTCCGACTGTCCTGAGTCTATGACTCAGAATAAACACAGCTGCAATAAAGTGGGAGGTGTAGATTTACGACAAAAGCATTGCAAGGGTGTTTCACCCACCTCCTGTTCATTCTCTGTGGATGCCACATCATCGTATATGTCATCACAGGTATAGGGGTCTGACGGAGGGCTGTCTGTGTATGTGTTGGGCTCTGAGTACCTCCTCTGCATAAAACTGACAAAAACACACAAATCAGGCTACAAAATCTCCAAAAAGCAAACAAATCTATCATATGATCACAAGTCACATTGGCCACTTT